TGGTGGCTGATCACATCACCTTTGAGTTTTTGGCCCACGCATACCAGGACTGGCTAGTGATGGACGTGGATACCGACGGTGACGATGGCCAGGGCACGGACGACGCCGAACAGCTGGCCAAGATGCTGGCACCACACATTGAGAACATGACGCGGCAACTCGACCAAGCTTACGCGAAGCACGAGGAGGAGCTGGCCATCCTGGAGGCCGAGCACGCCAAGCTGCTCCAGGACATCAGCGACCTCGAGAAATCCACGCCCGACCTGGCCGCGCTGGACGAAGACTTCAAGGTCATGGAGGAGGACAAGATCAAGTTTGAGGAGTACAACGACCTGGCTCTCCAGCGCTGCGAGCGGCACGAAACACGCATTCCGCTTTTCCAGGAAGAGCTCGACAAGCTCATGGCGGAGGTGGAAGAGGCCGAGAACGAGCAGCGCAGCCTACGACAAGCCGTTGACGATCAGGGCATCAGCATGGCGGATATCGATCGCATGAACTCGGAGCGCGAACGACTGCAAAAAGGCATCGAGGCTGCGGGACAGCGGCTCGAAGAGGCCAAGAGGAAGGTGGCAGAGCGTGAGGTGGACGCCAGCCGAAAGCTGGAGGAGCTTGAACGTACAGTCGACCGCTACAACACACTCGCCTATCAAATTGCCCTGATCCCCGAGACCGCAGCAAACGCCAAGGGACGCGACTACGAACTACGGGTGAAGGTGAACGAGGGTCCAAGCTTTGCCGAATCGTCGACCGATGCGGCCATGAACATGGGCACCGGGAACATGGAGACGGAGCGTCTGCTCGCTGATCCGGTGACAGGCTACCTGCCGGGACACATCCTCAACCTAGACCTTCGGGGGCACGTTAAGAACAGCTTCCTGGCGCTGCGCAAGGAGGTGTCGGAGCGGCGCAGCACGGCGCTCGAGACGATGATGAAGGACCACGACCTGCTGGACAGCATCAAGGAGGCGATGGAGGACAAGCGCAGCGAGGTGGAGGCGCTGGAGCACCGGGTGCGGGCGGCCGAGCAGGAGCACGAGAAGACCAAGGAGGTCACGACGGCGCAGCGGCTTGCCTCGGACGCGCAGATTGAGAAGATGGAGAAGGAGCTGGCCAAGATGCGGGCCAGTCTTTCGGAGTCGGTGCAGCTGATGGAACAGCGCGAGATGAACACCAACATTGAGTGAGTCCACGCCCCACAATGGCAACCGAACAAATCCGTATTTCTTCTTTCGTCTTTCTTGCTGACATTCATCCTCTAGGTACGAGCAATTGACACTGCGGGCGAGCGCTCTTCGCGAAGAGCTGCACACGGAGATCATGCGAATGCTCAACGACGTGATCAAGTTCAAGATGCACGTGCAGAAGAACCTGGAGGAGTACGAGGAGTTTGTGACGGAGGAGCTCGTCAAGGAGCTGGGCGACGGCGAGGAGGCCAAGCAATGAGGCAATGACGCAGTGCTCATGAAAGGGCGTTTGGGTGCTCTGGTGTCTGCTTCGTGCGTTTTGCCAACGTTTGATGACTGGCGGCGTCCACGTTTGTTTATGGCTTGGTTTTGGTTTGGTTAAGTCACCGTCGCACTCACCGTTTGCATGTCTTACTCTTTTTGGTATATACCAGGACGTGGGCCAGCAGGTTAGCGTATACGATTGATGTTGTATTGTTGTTCATGCCCACATTGAATGTTTTTTTGGTGTTGCTCCATTGATTTGATATGTGAGCGCTATGGGAATAACGTGGCAACAGAGCTCCGAGCTTTAAGGCCGGCGGAAGCTTGTAACCCCGCTTCATGACGTGCATCATAGCTCTTGCCCGTCTGGGGCTTTGAGACTCGGTCTCTCTTTCCTCTGCGACGCGGCCCGCAACTGCACAAATTTGTAAGCAGCTGGAGTTGTCTTTCCGCTGGTTAAATGCTAAATCCGTCTCCCATTGACGTCGAGGACAAGAAAAAGTTCATAGATCCAATTACCGCCTATTGCCGCGTCGTGAATTGCAACGTTTTGCCATTGGGAAAAGTTGCGACTAGTGCTGTCTTTCGGTGATGTGTCGCCGAGCACCGAGCGGGGCATAGCAAACAATCAACCAGAGCGCGAGACCGGCCCCAACAAGCCAGAGGACCCAGCGAGACCCAGAAAACGATTGTTTCTTTGTGGCAAAGTCCTGACGAGACTTTCTTCTTTACCGTTCTACACCCTCGTCCTGTTCTTGCGTTCTTCTGATCTCATCGACACGCAACCCATCCAATACTCACCCGTATGAACACGCTCCGTGCCGCGCGCTTTCGCCTTGCTTCCGTGCACCACCAGCTCTACCCTCCCATCTCTTCGCCGAGGACGCGCCTCTTTGCAACCATGGCGGCCACCAAGACGACAGACCCCAGCACCTACAAGCTGAACCACACCATGTGCGTGTATTTGTGATTCACGGGGAAAGCCCAGCGGTCGGGTAATGTGCAATGTTGGAGCAGAGACTAACAAACGTCAGGCTGCGGGTCAAGGACCCCAAGGAGTCGCGTACGTAGAACCGAGACTAGAGAAGGCTGAAGAAAGGCGGACGGAGACGAGGGGGAATTGATATGGGTACGAACGAGAGGGCTGGTGTGGTGGCCTGCTTTCGGCTCTTGACAGCAGGAAACAGGGGGGCGGTGGGGTGCGTGGGCTGCTGGATGCGGGATGCACGAGAGCCCTGACAGCTAACCTCTCCGCAGTCAAATTCTACGAGACCATCGGCCTCAAGCAGATTCGCAAGCTGCAGTTCCCCGAAGCCAAGTTCGACCTCTACTTTCTGGCCTACGACTCGCCGTCGGCCGTGTCGGCGGGCCACAGCGTCTTTGACCGCGAGGGCGTCATTGAGCTGACGCACAACTACGGCACCGAGACCGACCCCAACTACAAGATCAACAACGGCAACACGGAGCCGCACCGCGGCTTTGGCCACACGTGCATTTCCGTCGACAACATCCAGGCGGCTTGCCAGCGCATCGAGGATGCCGGCTACACGTTCCAGAAGAAGCTGACGGACGGCCGCATGCGCCACATTGCCTTTGTGCTGGACCCGGACGGCTACTGGGTCGAGATCATTGGCCAGCGGCCGCTCGAGGCCACGGCCGACGTCACCACGACGGACGTCACCACGTACCGCATGAACCACACCATGATCCGCGTCAAGGACAGCGAGAAGGCGCTCCGGTTCTACCAGGAGGTCATGGGCATGTCGCTGCTGCGCACGGCGCCCAACCCGGCGGCCAAGTTCACCAACTTCTTCCTGGGCTACGCGGCCGGCAACGCCACCGACGTCCCCGAGGGCATGACCAAGGAGGCCCTGCGCGAGGGCGTGCTGGAACTGACGTGGAACCACGGCACCGAGTCGGACGCCGCGTTCAGCTACCACGACGGCAACAAGGAGCCGCAGGGCTTTGGCCACATCTGCGTGTCCGTGGACGACCTCGACGCGGCGTGCCAGCGGTTCGAGGACCTCAATGTCAATTGGAAGAAGCGGCTGACGGACGGCCGCATGAAGAACGTGGCGTTTGTGCTGGACCCGGACGGCTACTGGGTCGAGATTGTGCAGAACGAGCGTCTGGCGGGCAAGCCCAACTTTGACCAGTAAATGCAGATAGGACGGCGTGTCGGTGTACGAGGCTACGAGGTATATGAAATTGCAACTTGGGAAGCGATGCTGTTCTGTGGGCTGGTCTGCAACAAGATGAAAGTGTGCTTGGTGTTGAACGTGCGGAGTCTGGATAGGCATATAGAGAATGGTCTACCTTGCACGTTTCTGGGTTGTGTTCGATGCTTCCAAGAGAGATGCACGTCGGTGTGATACGAGAAATAGACACAGGCCATTGTGCGTCGTAGATGTCAGCCGTTCCCCACGCTCATGTGCCGCCCCCGCAAGGAAAGGCCTACCTGTAATCTGCTTGGCAAAACAGATTGCCCAGCCTCGACAGTAAAAGTGTGTGGGGCAGTAACCAAACGTGAAAGGAAAGGGCGAACAACAGAACGGGACAATAACAAACACAAACACAACAAGAGGCGGGAAAGGAAAGGGTGGAAAGAGCAAGAGTGAAAGCAACATCGGGGAAGGGTCGACCGCCGGTAGTTCAGCTCGCACTTGCCTGTTAGTGTAAGCTGGGGCGCTTTCCCCAGAGTTATAGCCAACCCCACAGTCTGCCCCTTTTACTTGACGCTATCATCCTCTTGTCTTCCGCGTCTCCTCTCTCCTCGTCTCCTCGTCTCCTCGTCCTCCGCTATCCCACTCCAACACGCCCTCCAACAATCCACTTCCCCCACACGCTCGGCTGCCTTAGACGATCTTATTACAAGTCCGGGGCGTGCTGGCTGTCCTTTCGACAAAACGACTGGCCAGTGGTCCTGCTCGACCCCCAGGCAATATGCAGTCTTTCTGCTCTCAGCGATGTCGCAGTTGACGCCCTCTGCCTCGATCTCTTCGTGCCTCCTCCTCCTTGTTTTTGGCATTTGGTTCTCTCGCGAGAATTGCTCCCGTTGTGCTCATGGCCTCTTGTGACACTTTTCCTGCATCTTTGCGCCTTAGCCGACCGACCGGCCTCTCCAACACCCGAAGCGCCGCGTCCACTATTGGCGCTTCCTGACTGCTTATACTCACTTCGGTTGGTCTGCTTCTCCTGTCAAAGGCGCGCCCTACACCCCACGTCCCCGATGTGCGGCGTCCACACCAACGAGGGATGGCCCCTTCGGCGCCATGAGATGATGGACCCTTCGAAGCCGCACTGGGAGTAGCCTCTTGTGTGTGTCGTTTTCTCTCGCCTCGTCCTTTTCAGACCCCTCGTCTTACTTATGACCTCTGTGCTCTTTCTATTCCCTCTCCCCCTCTTTCGCCTCGTCTTTTTCTTTCTCGGCATCGTTTTGTTTTCTTCCAAGTTGAACATCGAGACCAGTTTCAGATTCTAAGCAGCCTTGCTCTTGTCCTGTTCCTTATATCTTACCCCCGCGCACCCTCCCCCACCTCTGTCTCTACCATCATGGCTCCCTCCGCTGTCGAAGAGCCTGTTGCTGCTGCTGCGGCCCCTGCGGCCACTTCTCCGGCTGCTGTGGCCACAGACAACCTACCTCGCATCCTCGTCCCCGAAAAGGTCTCTCCGGATGGCCTCGCCATGCTCCAGGACCACTGCCAGGTCGATATCCGCCTGGGCCTCTCCGCCGAGGAGTTGCTGCAGACCATCCCCTCCTACAACGGCCTCATTGTCCGTTCCGAGACCAAGGTCACAGCTGCTGTTCTTGCTGCGGGCCGCAAGCTGCGTGTTGTGGCACGTGCCGGTGTCGGTGTCGACAACATTGACGTGGATGCGGCCACTACGCACGGCATCATTGTCGTCAACTCGCCGGCGGGCAACATCCGTGCCGCCGCCGAGCACACTGTGGCGCTGCTTCTGGCCACGGCCCGCAACATTGGCCGCGCTGACACCACGATGAAGGAGGGCAAGTGGGCTCGCAGCAGCCTCGTGGGTGTTGAGGTGGGCGGCAAGGTGCTGGGCATTGTCGGCCTGGGCAAGGTCGGCATGCAGGTCGCCCGCATGGCCAAGGGTCTGGGAATGCGTGTCGTTGCCTACGACCCCTATGCCAGCCCCGAGGTGGCCCGTAGCGCGGGCGTCGAGCTCGTCGCCAATACGGCCGGTGCACCCGGCAATGAGAAGAGCGGGCTTGATGCTCTGCTGCCGCAGGTGGACTTTTTGACCATCCACACGCCGCTGTTGGCTACGACGCTCAACCTGCTGGACGAGACACAGTTCAAGGCGATGAAGCCGGCAGCGCGCGTGCTCAACGTGGCGCGCGGCGGCGTCTACAACGAGGAGGCGCTTGTGAAGGCGCTCGACAACGGCTGGATTGCAGGCGCCGGCATTGACGTATTTACGTCCGAGCCGGTCAAGCCGGACCCCGAGGGCAAGTCTTGGGCCGCGCGCCTGGCGGCCCATCCCAAGGTGGTCGCCACCCCGCATCTGGGCGCCTCGACCGTCGAGGCCCAGGAAAACGTCTCGCTCGACGTGTGCGCGCAGATGCGCACCATCCTCCGCGGCGGCCTGCCCACAGCGGCCGTCAACGCGCCGCTGATCCTGCCCGAGGAATACCGCAAGCTGCAGCCGTACGTGCGCCTTGTGGAGCGCATGGGCAGCTTGTACACACAGCACTTTAGCCGTGCCTCGCGCCCGGGCTCGCTGAGCGCCAGCCGCCGCCCGCGCCGCCGCTTCGAGCTTGTCTACCGCGGCGAGCTCGCTGACGTTGCTAACACACGGCCCCTGTTTGCCGCATTGGTCAAGGGCCTGGTGTCGTCTGTGACCGATGCTGGTGGCCGCGACGTCAACATTGTTAACGCCACGCTGATTGCCAAGGAGAAGGGCCTGGCCATTCGTGAGACGCACGATCGCAGCGAGGGCGGCAGTGGTGTGAGCCTGCGGGCGCAGGCCGACGATGAGCCCGAGGCGTCGACAAGCGCCACACCCAGCGGTGAAGAGGATGGGCCGGCTCTTGCTCCGGTCGACGACGCGCCCGCTGCCGCTGCCCCTGTGGCCGCGCCCGCGGCTGCCACGACACTCCCCGACGAGATAATTGAAGGCTATGTCAGTGGCAAGAGCATCTACATCAGCCGCGTCGACCGCTTTGTGGCCAACTTTGTGCCCGAGGGCACGCTTCTGGTGCTCCACAACTACGACGAGCCGGGCAAGATTGGCCACGTCGGCATGGCACTGGGCCGCCACGGCATCAACATTACGTTTATGCACGTGGCGAGCGTCGACCGCAGTGGCGCCGTGCGCCGCCGCAGCGTGACCACGGGCACGGAGAACGAGGCGCTGATGATCCTGGGCGTGGACGGCCCTGCCGTGACGCCCGCCGTCATTGATGACCTGCGTGAGTCGGAGGGCATCCTGGACGTCAGCCTCGTGCGGTTGTAGGTAGCTTACAGATGCAAGCGGAGGGTTCGTTGCACGTTCCAATAACATTCCACAGCATGAATAGCTCAAATCAAGATGGACGTTTTATGTCATAAAATGCAGTGTCGTATTTCGTTTCGTCGTCTGTCTGACCACTTCTCACGGTCGTCTATCTATCGTTGTTGTCTAGTCATCGACACGCCGAAATAAGCATACGAAAAGTCTAGTTTCGCTCGTCGCCACCTCGTCGAGCCCACTCAACCGAGAAGCCATGGAATCACCAGCGTCCCACCGGTCGCGCCCTTGCCCTCTGTCACATTCTCTGCGCCCGCCAACGCGGTCGACTGTCCGGCAGGCGTCCACCCCGCCCGTGCCAGCGACGTCTTCGCCACGACGCAGTCAAACTGGATGTCCGCCACCAGCGCGTCCAGCGACGCATAGTTTTGCTCCGGCCGGATGTAGCCCAGGATCGCTAGGCGCAGGTGCGCGCCGTAAAAGTCGTGCGCAAAGGGGCTCAGAATGTGCACCTCGGCCGTGCGCGTCTTGTTCTGGTAGAACGGGTTGTACCCAATCGACATGACCATGGGGTACAGGCCGGCCACGGCGGCCGTCTTGTCCGTGTGGTCGGGCGCGCTCTCGTCGGGGAGCTTGGACGCCACGCCATCGCCAATGACGCCGTTGGCCTCGGCGGCAGCCGCCTCGCCCGGGCGCGCGGCCTCGAGCACGGCCCAGCCAAAGTAGACGCCGGACACGCAGTCGGCGATCCAGGGCGTGGCCTTGGCGTCGACGGGCAGGTTGGCCGTGGGAATGCCAAGCTAGGGGAATGTGTCAGTAGGGAGCACAAAAGCACAAAAATATAAAAGGCTGCGCAACAATCGAAATAAACAACATGGCGTGGTCCCACCTCCTTGGATCCCCGTCCGAAACCGCTAATCACAGGACCCTCCATCTTGACCGGGAAGGGCAGCTCGGGCCCCGCATCGGGGCCGACAATCGACGGACGTGAAGATGTCATTGTTGTTGTGCGGGGAGAGAAATGGGGGAGAATGAGAGGAAAGGGGGGGGTCAGGGCAAATGTAAAAAGAGTCCAAGGTCCCGCCGTTTCGAGTCCGCCAGGGGATCCGGCGGCGCGATCCCGTTATGTTGCCCCCGCCGCTTGCGCCTTCCCTGCCTGGCCCAGATTTCACGAACATTCTTTGGCTGGGATGTGCACGTGACTCTCACTCACCACCTTAATTACGGCATCCTGCATGCATATCGACAGACATTCTCAAATAAGCATAAGATGGTGTACATTATGCGGAATAGGTACAGTATTTGATGAAAGGTCTGACAGGGAGCTTACGATGGAGACATGCGTGCGACCTCTTCAGAATAGGCAAAGCACAGAAATTGGCGGCCGTCACGGACAAAGGGGTTTGGTAGGATATTTTTGGTATTGTAAACAAAACAGCGCATTGCAGGTATATAGATAATGGCAGTTTCCAGAAACTCTACAGGACGTAAAAAACCGAAAAGGCCCTCCTCAAAACGATCAAAATGTCGTAAGTAAGACCCCGCCGGTCAGGCATGACAGGACGGTACAAGAAACAGATCAACACCCAACCAATGCAGATGGGTGAATAACGAAGCGAAAGAAGAGAAAAAGAATAGACGAAAAGATCCAAAAAGCGAAAAGAAACCAAGAAAACTCCGCCGATGCCTGACCTGGAACAAAACACAAAGCATAAAACCGTAGGATCGCAGCAAAACCCAAAAATGCAATACAGCAACAAGGAAGACAATCGTAGACACGATTGCTCCCCCCCTTTTCATCACATCGCCCACCAGCCTTCGAAGCCGGCCAGGTGCATTCTACTATACAGCCAACTGGTGCGGTTCTTGGTTGGGATAGTAGCAAGGAAGAAACTGGACACGTGAAAGTCAGTATGGCTGCGTTTTTTTGATTTTTTTTTTCGTCTTTTTTTTTTAAAAAAAAAGTTTCACGTCCCAACAAAAGTAACGGAATGACTCACATTGATCACAATCATCATGGGTATGTCAAAGGTATCCCGCCGGATGTGCCAGCAGTAGGAACACTCCAGCTTGCCGTCCTTTTCAATCTTTGCAATGCCATGCTCGCCGTCTATGCGTGCCACCCGGCTGCTCAGAATGCTGCTGGCGGGCCGAAGGGTGCCCGAGCTTGTGGTCGTCGGGCCCGTGCCCGTGCCCGTGCCCGTGGCCGCTGCCCCTGGTCCCGACGCCGTCGAGGCGGGACCGCCCCCCGCGTGCGGCTCGTCAGCCACGCTGCCGCTGGCGGAGGAGGCGAGCATGTCGCGCGTCCGGTACTTGAGCAACCGGCACTTGCGGTTGACGGAACCACGGCTGTCGCCAAAGGCCAGGTGCGCAAAGTCCTCGTAGAATTCAATGACATTATCGTCGTCCATGAGCTCGGCCAGGAACAGCGGCTGGGGCTTGCCCTCCGAGGCCTTGACGATCTCAGCGTTGAGCGTCCGCAGCCGCGGCGTCGTCAGGCCCGCACGGCCCGAGTTGGCAGCACTGCCGGTCCCGCTGTTGTTGCTCTCCTCGTTGCCAGGGGCAAGACCAGTGGCGGCCAATCCAGTGCCGCCCAAGCCGCTCGACGCACCCGCCGGCGTCCCTGTGTTGACGTTGAGATTCGTTTCTTTGCCCAAGAGCACGTCCTTGGTCCAGCCGGTCAGCGCCGTGAACTCCTTGTTCACGGCCGCCACCTCGCCGGTCCGTCGCAGGACAACGGTCGGGCTCGACACCTGGTTCATAAACTCCTCGTACTCAAAGAGCGTGCGCTGGAAGCACTTCTCCATAAAGACAAGATCTTGGCGGTTGAGCGTGCGCGTACAGGAGATGAAGGAGGGTCGAATGCTGGACAGGGCCTTGGCGATGCGCAAAATCTTACCAGCGGCAAACCGCCGCTGGAGCAGGGCAATCAGCCGGTGGAAGCCATTGACATACATGTACGGCTCCTTGACGAGCTCGTATATGGAGGACGGGTCCCGGTGGCGTTTTCCGAGGATGGACTGCGGCAACACCTTGGACACAGCATTCTTGGCCTTTTGCTGCTGCTGCTGCTGCTGCTGCTGTAGGGACTGTTGCGGTGTGGATTGCGCTTGTTGCGAGATCGACGACCGACCCTGGCCGTTGCTGTTGCTGCCGGTGCCGTTGTTGGTCAGGTTTGACAGACTGTACACCGCCGTGGTCGGAGACCCTTCAAAGCCGTAATTTGTGGCTTGCGGGCTGTTGTTGTCCGTACTCGGGCTCTGCAGGCTGGCCGGCGCCGCAGCAATGGCGTAGGCATGTGGCAGGCCATGCTGCAGGTTGCCCTGTGTGTAAAAGCCGTTGCTGGACGAGTTGTCCAGGTTCATAAAGTCGTTCATCAATCCTCCAGCACTGCTGGAAGCTGCACCGCCATCAAAGAGGGTCTGATTGACACCGCCGTTCCCAAAGACACCGGCCGCAGAGCTGAAGCTGCCCACACCGGAACCAACACGTCCACCCTGCTGGGAGATGGACGATGGGTCATTGGGGTCATCTGCAGCACCTGACGACATGTGTCCGAGCATACCAAACTCCATGGCAGCATACTGGCTGCCAAAGTTGATGCCTTCAAGGTTGAAGTTGAACAGAGCCGGGTTGCTGGGGTCGAAGAGCGCAGGCGAGAAATTCGCCATGGCGGCTGACGCAGATGACAGGCTCAGGCGATTCAACGGGTCATTGGCCTCGCTGGCGGTTGTGGCAAAGCTCGGCGAGACGGGGGACTGGGGGTTGGGGAAGGTGAGGTTCTCAGGAAGAGAACCTGCCGCGGTTTGCGAGGTCGAAAAGACGGGATAGGAGGGTGCACTCGACTGTGTGAAGAAGGACGGGACATTGGAGGCAGACACGTCGGACCCGGCGCTCGACGGGTGCCGGTGGCCATTACCATTGGCTGCCCGAGCCGGCGTGCTCGTCGCGGCGCCGGCATTGAAGTTGGGGCCCAGGACCGGTCTAAGGGCCTCGGCCGGAGCGTCGTGCAGGTACTTTGCCTTCTTGCGCACGCCATCTTGGCAGCCGTCTGCAAGACCTCTCTTAATGCATCTTTGGCACGGCCGCTCATCGCCTGTTGTCATTAGTAACATGCCACAGGAAAAGAACCCAAGGGAAAGAGAGAGAGAGGGACGCAAACTAACCGCATGTCAAATGCGCCCGCTGGCAGGCAAAGCACGCCCGCCGAGCCTTCTTCCGTCTAGGACGGAGTGGGTCCTTTGGGTCATACTTCTTTTTGGGTTCGGCCGCCGAGCCGTCGGCACCGGGCGCGGTCTTGGCCGTCTTTCTGTCGTTGTTCGGATCCATATCTTCGTCTTCGTCCTTGTTGGCTTTGCTTTCGTTGTCGTTGTCGTTGCTGTCGACTTCGCGAAGGAGTTGCAAATTGACCTCGTCGTATTCGTTGTCAGACGCGCCATCTGAGACTTCGCCTTCGTTGAGGTCCATGTCTTCGAGCATTCTCTCAGCACGAAATGTCTCGCCGTCTTGTCTTTATATAGTAGGGCGGCCGCGAGGGACCCCCGTGGAGAACAGGCGAACAAAAGGAAGCCACAAATGAGAACAACGGAGGGAGAGGGAGGGCAATACAACCAAGGCCCTACAACGAACAGGGTTGTATATTATGACTGTGTGGGGAAGGCGGATAGAAGCGTGTTAGACAAGGGGGAGGGAGCGGACGAAGTGTTCGACATGCGCACGCAGGGGCAAGAACACCAAAACAAGATAAAAGGTTATCCAAAGTCACCTTCAGAACCTTCCGTGTTGTTTGGTAATAGAGGTGGTGTGGCTGACTTTTGCTCCTTCTGAACAGAAAGGAAAGCAAAGATCGTCGTCCCGATGTGATTGGCACAGGCCGTATCCAAAGCCCGTCGAGGAGGGTGGGGTGGTGATAAGCCCAGCACAGGACAGCTCGAAGAATGGAAGGGGGCGTGTGTATGTAAAGATTAGGACCGAAAAAGAAAACCGACTGCACAGCGCCTGCAGAGGTCAACACCAAAAGAAAAGACGGAAGCTATGCCAGCTCCTATAGTGGTAGCACAGGGTCGAGGTACACAACAGCACCAGCTTGGCTTCCGCGTTGCCGTCTATTGCGTAGCTGCGCAGGCCTGTGGTTTATCCAATCTAACTTGGGGGATCGAAATCAAATCACCAGCGTACTCCTGAAGACGAATGTGTGGCTCGACGGGAAACAGGAACGGGTGCAGATGCGTGGGCTTCGGCTTGCCACGAGGCTCACTCGGGATTCAACGTGTAGTCCAACGTCTGAGGTGAGGTGGCAAGTCGGCAATGAGGACGCTGGTGAAAGGGACGGTGGAGCTCCAGGGAGCTCCGTGGGCGCGACGGACGTGTATTGTATGCGGGTTGCGGTATGCAAGAGGCGATATTGCGATACGGATGCCGCGTAGCTTGGTTTGGGCGTTGGGCTGTCCTATACGGGCATGCAGAAGCGCAATATCCCAATATTGGACAAGGGGGCTGTCTGTATTGCCTGCTGTCAAGTTGGACGGGCAGATGATGAAAACGAGGCGGGGTGCAAGCCGCGGTGCGGAAAGGCGAGAAACAGACGAACAGATAGTGAGTGTAGGCTGATGCTACGACCCAGAAACCCAGAAAACCCAGAAACCCAGGAAATGAAAACGAGAGGAGGAAAAAGTTCCGAGAGTGTGCAGCGCCACGGTACACAGAGCTGTTGTTTCTTTCACTCTCTTTGGTGCTCCTTATTCAATTTGGACTCGTACAAGGAGAACGGGCGGGCTACACAAAATGTCGTATTGTGTCCAAAAGAAGCAAGCCCCCTTCGCTGTTGGTTGTTCGTGGCGTCCAGTGTGCAGCTAATGGCAGTGGCATGGGTCTGTATGAAAATGCAAGGATGCGATGGTGGAGGAGGATGGAGCAGGACAAGGCGTCAGCGTCTCTTGTGCAACAAGAGACTGGAGATGGAAGAGGGCGGTTATTCCGTGGGCGGCGGGGGGACCGTGTGTCCTGGCGTCAGAGACATGAGCTCTCTTGGAAACGTCCAAGCTGGGCGGGGGGGCGAGAGGATGTAGGTTGATCTAGGTTCGCCCGGGTACTGAGGGAGACAAGACGTCGAGAAGTGACCTGAGAAGGGCAAAGAGGGTGGGCGTACAAAGATGATGCAGGCGGCCGTTCTCCTGTCCTGTGGTCCACCGTTGGTGCGTTGCTGTCGCTGTCGTGTATCGCAAAGCGGACGTGCTCTGTGTACAGGTCGCCGACCTACGTGACGGGAGGCGTCGAGTGAAGGTGCCCGAAGGGAAGAAGGATGCAAGAGGTGCAGAGACGCAGAGATGCAGAGATGCAAAGACAAAGATGCAAGAGGTCGAGGTCAAAAGGGAGGCGTTGACAGAGCTGCTGTTGAGGTTAAGCCAAAGTTGTCGCAACGGAAGAGCGGAGATGGCCGAGGTCGAGCAGGCTCTCTGGGAGGATCCGAAGCCTGGGAGCCACAGCTTGTTCACTTGGGGTTGTTTGTCGTCGTCGTCGTTGTTCGTCTTCGTCTCTGTCTTCTTCTGCCGCACAAGCTGGTCTTCTGTCGAATGGTCGCGTGGTGGGGCGAGGCAAAGTCGCAGACAGCTATGTATTTTTTCGAGGCTGGGGGATTGCCTCGCAAGTGGTTTCTCGCAGGTCGTCAACGGACACAGCAAAACTTTGTGAGGCCCGGCGGACCAATGGGGCGTCGAGAATTGTGTGCCAATGCGACTGGGGGTGGGTTGGCCAAGGTTCGGAGCCTATCCTCGGCTACCAGACATTAATTACACCGTGGCTGGCACGCCAAAAACAAGAGTGAAGGCTGCAAAAAGCAAAAAGCCGGGACGGATCTTCGCCAACAGGCGGTCTCTAGTGGCCTCCTGGGCTTTTCACAGGGAAAAGTACTCCATTCACGTTTTCCGGTTCGCAAAATGGCAGGGCAAGATAGGTTCGAGAAGTCGCAAACGCCAATGGGCAATCGCCAATGCCGAGGCCGGTTGGTGAATCGTTACAGAAACGACGTTGGGCTCGAAACGACAGTCATATGTCGCCAATGCACGATACAGCCTCGCGAGAGTGCGACGAAGGGAAATGCGCGATGCAAGAAAGTAGCAAAATGAAAAACGTCAAGAGAAGACAGAAAAGACAGAGAGGACAGAAAGGAGAAACAGAAATGGTCGAAGAAGAGAAAGAGTGACGGAGGCCACTGAAATGGATATGGCGCAGCGCTGTCGGTCGCAATTGCCTCGTGCAAGTACGAAATACCTCGTGGTACCGACCAACCGCGAAAATTAGTGGAGGCATATTTGTGAAAGAGTGGAACAATTGGCGGGGAAGGAACCAAAACTGCTCTAACTACGAGGAAGTCCAAAAGGGACAAGGCTACGATTGGGAAAGCACGATGACCACTCGCGGCATAAACACCTCCAAGAGAGGCAGGACGTAACGTCGAGACCACCAGGGAAGGAACGACAGGCACGACGCCGGCGAAATGCTCAAAATGCTCGAAATGCTGCAGGAGGTCGCGTGGGTAAACTGCAGTCATTGGCGTGTTGTGCGTTGCTAGGCCCGGCGCATGTCAGCCTGCGCGGCTTGTAAAGAAAGTCGTAATTGAGCCTCACATGAATGGACAGTAATAGCCTGTTGAGGATTTCACAGCAAAGGGGACAGGAGCAACGAGGAACAGGAAAAGCGGGTTCGCTAAAAAGGTTCCTAAGCGGTCTGCAGCATGGAATGTCGAATGCGCCTGCCCATTTGACACCACCGATGGCCGTCATTTCCTCTTCATGCTTTGCTCGTTCTTTCCGTCGTCTCTTGGCCCTTTGCTCTTTCGTCCTATTTCCCTTCCTTCCCTTTCTAACACGATCATCTTCTATCCCGCGCCCTTGGCTCTTTCCCAAGCACAAACAAAAGACGCGAATCATCAGTGCTCCATCCGAACGGCTCTGGGGAGAAGGCGCCCTTGGCCTCTGCGGGGTTTTATGCTAGCAGGTGCCTCACTTTACTCCGTATTACAACAGCGTCTTTCCTGTTCATTACCTGTAGCAGTACCTACCGGACACTATGTTCATGCAGGGCGACAGATGTAGTAGTGACTTGTACCAAAACAGCGCAGTTAGGAATGTGGAGCAAACTTGGCCTTCTTTCCATCCTTGTGCACTGCAAGATTTTCTAATGTGCATGCGCCGCCAAATCGAGGCATGCTTTAAAATGTCGCTGGATGCACGGCTAGCAGGGAGTTGTGTAGGCGGAACTCCAAGAAGTGACATTTTGTTGGCCACGCAAAGAATCGCTGGTTTATGCAAATGTCTCACTTCACAGAATAAATCGTTTACCCTGTCTGTAAGACGGAAATCAAGACAAAAGGGAGTACGACATAATTTATTGGATTATCTGTCACCAACTTCTTCATATTTTATAGTTTTTACAATATATAAATGTTTGCATTAAAAAAAAAAAACACCAGACAGTTGCTTTGGCGAATATAATTTACGGACAGACTTCCCAATCTGTATCAAAACGAACAGCCGCTTTCTTTTCGTTGTCCATTTTCCTTTTCCGTAGCCGCTGTATCCGCTGTCCAATAACCATCCTGTCTCGTACGTGATCCTGCTCGTGTAACAAACAACGTCCCATGATGGGTGCGTGATGGATACCCAAGCCCTCCCTCCGGGATTGTCTCTTGTCACGTAGGACTTGGCAAATGGGGGTGGGGGTGCTGGAGCCCAACCAGGTAGAAAGTACAAAAGCAACGACGGCAGTTGTCGATAGCCAAGGAGTTGGAACACATTTGCAAGAGAATGCCCAACGAGGAACAAGAAAAGCATGCATGTCATCGGTGTGCCATGGAGTTGCTAAGATTTGGTCCCGTCCGCCCCTCCGTCTGATCGATCCGGCACTGTTCATGTATGTGAGTACTGACAAAGCATTCACACTGGCTACAGGAGAACAAGAGCTGCGGACAATAAACGCAACAATTTAACCACGTCTTTGATTCACCCTTACTTGGCCTTTACCGCGGCCGTGGTCCAGGAGGCTTACATATCACATACTTTCAAGGCCATCCGAGGACGTCATTTTCACACCCTTCCAAGCAAGTCGATGATATGTACACATACACAGTTGGATTTTGAATCTCTTTTAAAACTACAACATAGCCGTGCGTGCTGAGACTGGCACAGCAAGAGGCCGGTGCATGTCTATTTTCTCTTTGTATACACATATCTACGGACCGCCATCGTGCAAACGCCACCAGTTCTGACGGGCGACCGGCGAATGCGCATTCATGCACACATTCTTCACCACCATCTCACATATCATCACAGACAAGAACCGTGTAAATCAGCTTCTTTTGTTTGTTTGGATAAGAAAAAACAGCGAGAATAGTTCCAGCGTCGCAGTCGGATCCCTGCTCTGGTCTGCTGCTTCTTTTGGGAATCATGTCGAGACATGTGTTGGAAGCCTATCTGCCGAACGCTTCCTTCTCTTTCTGCATGGCTTTCTACTTTCTCATCGAATACGGACAACCTGCGCTCAGCTCACCAGAAAGCCACTCGTATATCCCCTATCCCACAGCTTCTCTGAGCGATTACCATCCCCAGGCGGACCCTTTAGTATGTCGCAGTTTTTTTTCTTTCTCTTTTTTTACTTTAATCCGACTGGTCACTTTGTTTTTGTAGCTTTTTGGGTGTCTCCTTTTTTTTTTTTGGCGTACACGCCCCCATCCAAATATTCCTTCCCTAAACTGTTTGCGTAATGGCTTGGCACACTTGGGTGCGGATAGCAGAGAGAGGACGCTGATATTGAATGCATATGTTACACCCATGTACAAATAGAATAGAAGAAATCTTTCATGAGCCTGCTTCTCTGTTATTACATTCACACCATTCTTGTTTGTATTACACGACCAGTCAGCTGCTCCTATATAGGTTTACACAGCAGCTGCAGCGCACCTTCTTTTGGGGTGTCTATTTTATCTCATTTTTTTCATGTAACGTTCAGAATTAACTTTTTGAAGGAGATAAAAAGACAATGACAACCTGCTTAGTATCTTGCATGCCGATATGACATTTTTCTCGTCTTGGCACCTCGTATAGTTCATGTCTTCTCCTTTGATAGGGGGAGTCAACAAACAGATGTTTAAATTTTGCAGTCAACGCACGATTGTGTCTCTGTTTATAGTGCTCAAGTTATTATTTAATAGAAAACTCTCCAGGTATTAAAAAGGTCTATACACTGTGTCCTAGCAAAATCCAATGTGCTCGCTCTCTAGTCCTTTTTATCCGATGTGAATAAAGCAAGGGATATGAAGATGTGCAAATGCCAAACAGACAGGAGACAAAACCGCACGTCGTTCCCAGGTGAATGCGTGGGAGATGGAAAGAGATAACCTACAGCTGCTTCAAACCATAAGTTTCTTCGAAAGGCAAACGGATTCACGCCATCTCATGCAATGGCAGTGTCGGTAGCTCGAAAAAAAAAAGTAATCAGATGGGTATCACGCTACGAGCTGACAGCAAACTTGCTCTTCCTGCGCAGCCACTTGCCGTACTTGAAGAACAAGAAGGGGAAGGGAAGCATGGCGACAGCCAAAAAGGCGAGCAGTGACGACGCCCACTGGTCGCCCAGCTTATGGTACATTTGCACACCGAACAGAGGGAAGGCGGCAGCAAAGGAGCAGCGCACAAAGGCGTTCGAGGCCAAGACGCTGGCAGCATGGGGCTGGTAGGTGTCGACGAAGAAGGTAAAGATGCCACTGAAGACAAACAAGCATCTAGAGAAAGCGGCAAAAAGTTGGTCAGCGATATTCGTGTACAGAAAACGCACGGACACAAACGAAATGAAGTATAAAAAAATACATTGACGATGCAGAGGATGAGATTTGATAAGGCGTTGAGAGAGTGAAGGGGGAGATGACTGATGCAAGATGGTGCCTCCATGACGTCTGGTTCTGGTGAGATGCCATATCGACGTGCTGACAGGGAATAGAGGGGGTTGAAGAGACCATCAAAGCGTTTGTCCGCTCCAAGCACTGTTGCACCAGCACCTGATATAACAGGATGTGCATACTGAGCCGTGGAGCCATGGAGCAGCAAAACAAATCGGGTGAGTGCATCGGAGACGACTATGTCACAGGAAAGGAAGACTAGATCCTCGTGCTTGGATGAAAGCCTTTATGCGGGCAGCCGCTGGGGCTGAGACGCAGGAGGCTTCGTATTGAACACACCAGGCGGACTATTTTTATCCAAGATGGAAAGTAAAGCCAACGAGGAAATGAAAGGGAGGAAAGGGGGGAAATTGCCAAAAAAAAAAATACAAAGAACATTAGAAAGAAAAGAGTCAAAGCTCACCCTATCGCAAAGACAGCGGACCCGATAATTGGCACGATCCAGTGAATGCTGGCATACGACGTCCAGCCGAACCAGAAGATACCAATGGGCACGATGATGGCGCCCACCATGACCGAGGGCAGACGGTACTCGGGCTCGCTGACGGGCGCGGAGGCGCCAAGCTCCTGCTGGCGCTTGACCATGAGCCGGAGCCGGACCTTTGCCCAGATGGGTGCGCAGGTCCCGCCGATGGCCATGCCGACAAACAATCCCATGAACGACAGACCAGACTGCCAAAGATTGAAGCCGTGGTTGCCCTCGAAGACGACGGGGAAGGCACCAAAGAAGAGATAGAGGATACCGAGGAGAATGGCCGAGTAGAGGTTGAGGGCGAGGATCATGGGCTCGGACACGAGCAGCACGAAGGGGTGCTTGACGGCGTAGCCGATGGTGCCGAGAATGGACTTGTTCATCTTCTCAATGGGAGCATACCAGCGGTCGTCGCCCGTCTCCTTTCGCATGCGGCGAGCCTTGTTGCGCAGCACGACGGGATGGTAGGTCTCGGGGACAAAGACGAAGAGGGCGACCAGCAGACAGAAACCCCAGATGATGAGGACGTAGTGGGTCCAGCGCCAGTCGGTGTAGCTGTTGATGAAGCCGCCAACCAAGGGGCCGATGGAGGGGCCGATGAAGGGCGCGACGGAGAAGAAGGCCATGGGGCCTTGCATGGCCTCGCGCGAAAAGAGATCGCCGACCGTGCCGCCGGACACGGACAAAAACGCGGCGCCGGTGAAGCCCTGGAAAAAGCGCGCAATGATCATGGTCTGAATGTTCTGGGCGACGGCCGAGGGAATGATCCAGATGATGAAGAGCAAAAACGATCCCAGGTAGACGGGGCGCCGGCCGTAGAACTCGCTGAGTGGACTCCAGACAGGGCCCGCGGCGATGCCCAAGACAAATGTGGACAGACCCAGTGTGGCCACAATATTGGAGGAGCCAAACTCGGCGTTCATGCCGGCGTAGCTGGAGGTGTAGATGGAGCTGGCGCAGGTGACGCAGGCCGAGCCGAAAGAGGTGACGAAGACAAGGAGCCACTTGCGTGCCGTGGGCATGCTGCGCGGGCACATGGGATCGGCATCGCCGCCGTCCCAAATGACCTCGAATGGATCCTTCTCCGCGACTGCACCGGGACTTGGTTCGGGGCTTGGCACGGGTGGCTTGCTGTCTCGGGTTACACTTCGGCTCCGGACAGGTACCGGCTGTACTTCTGGGCCGCGTTGGGCTTCGTGTTCGTCGAGTGTGACCGTGTCTGATGCTGACGAGTCACCTATCCTTGGCTGGCCGTCTGCTGGGCCGTCGCAACCCTTCTCAAGGTCGTTCGCTATGCTGTGACGCGGTTGCTGGTCCTCCTCACCGGGCAGCCGTTGTGCGCCGTGGTCGCTCTCTAAGGCTTTTTCCATATCTTTCTCCATGCTGAGGAATTGATTGTGGATTGAAATAGTCGGGAGAGGAGATGAGGAGAAGAAGGAAAATGGGAACCTAGAGAAGAAAACCAAGCAACGCAGAAGAAAACGGGCGTCACAAGCTTTTGATATGAAGACAACAACCGGATATCCGAACGTAACGGCGAGATGAACGATAGTGACGCTGTGACGTCCCCCCAAAAAAGCGTCCTGGCTTTAGACGGATATACGTCACAAATAACAGCGAGTGCTAGACGGATACTTCGGCGATGGATCCGCTGATATTTCGGGGTTTGCCAAAGGGGCACCAAGTGTCATTGGTACTAGACAGTGGCGAGCGGAGGCAAATTGGTTCTAAAGGGACAGAACCTAGTGAGAGGACTGAGTCGTGTATGGAAACGCTCTGCCGTTGAGTTTTGTCGACTATGAATATCAGGAGATATACATCGTATTTTGGGAATGATTTGAAAGGAGAAGAAAAGTGGTGAGGGAGGGTATCGGAGAGGCAGGAAAAGGGGACGACAAAGAAGGCAGGACGTGGTCACCAGAATTTATATTGGCAAGAACGACTGAGGTGTGATAGGAAAGAAGAGGAAGGAAGTGCGAGAGCAATTTGGAAGGAGCAAACAAGTCGACTGCTGGTCTTTCCCGTTGCCCCAAGATGTCCTTCTGTTTGTATGGCGCTGAACAAAAGTGTCCGAGTGAGGACGGACTTAAAGGCGATAATTCAAATGTGAAAGGGGCGCGGCACCAACAACATGAAGCCAAATAAAGGCACACCTGGAATGCACAGTGGACAATGGCGACAACTGGAGCGCAGAACATTAAAGGGGACGAGAACATGAATGACAAAACTTTTAGTTCATTATTCAGCTGGGGAAAATGGTTCGCCCAAAAGGAAGGAGCAAGTGGAGTTGGTCACGACTGCCCTGCAAGCAGGTGGACGCGAGAATAGGGGGAGTTGCGATGGGCACGGGGAAGGCAGGAGCCATGAACGTGCAAATGGGGGCATTAAAATAGCATGCGAAAGAAGAAGGAGCGACTTCGGGCGACATAGGGCAAGACCTGAAAAGGCGAAGGCGCGAATTGCACGAGCCGCCAGGACGAAACCATGTAAGTTACTTGGTTGGAATAAAAAAGCAAAGACAATGCGACTGTACGAGATTGTTGGAAATGGGCTAGGCCATGCGCGTGCTGGTGACCGAACAAGCGAACGCCAGAAGCACACCCGCCAGGACCAAGCCTACGATGTACACAGCACATGGATACAATGTGCGATGGTCTCTGCGAAGGAACAGAAAACGATCTTGAGCCCCATCTCCAAACGGCAAGAAAGCAGTCAATGGGGAGGAGTAAAGAGCACAGAACAGGTTGACAGGGTGAGAGTCACCTGGTATGCGGCAGCCGCTACGCGTTCATGTATCTTGCATGTGCAGACGGATGGACGGCGTACTGTTGATCACTGCCAAAAAGCACAGAGTCATACTCGTCGTCCAGTTGCACTCTCTACAACTTGACTGACTTATTTCCGCACACCTCCCGCGGTTTTGGCTGTTTGTCTACCCTTCACGCGCCTCTCTCCGTTGTGGCCACAGGAGTTTATCGTAGTTCTCCCAGGATACGATGAAGTGGCACAAAGTTGGGGGTTTGGACCTGTGAAGTGAATCGAAACAGAGCAGCATTCAATGGCCGATGGCTGATGGCAGATGTGTATGACGCAGACCTCACAAGAGACCACCATCGACGGACATTCTGAGCGTTTGGAAACTGGAGGATACGGAGACCACACTTTTCCTCTCATATATGGAATGATACGGCGGATGGAGCTGAGAAAGCCACCGCTATCCTTGATAAAGAGGACTGTAGTGCTGGCTGGGCTGCGTGGGCTGATGAGCAGATGAGGCGGTGAATGTGACGGTCGCAAGAAACGTGACTGTCACTTGAGAGGGCGCATTGAAAGTGAATACAAGCACTTCGCTTGCTGTCTCAATGGACGACAGGATAAACGAAAGCAAAGCAGGTGCAATACCCTGTCTTAGGATGCAGTGAGTCCCAGGCGTAAAGTCTCGGGAAGAAGACATCCACGATCCAGCGCATGGTGAAAAGTAACAGCGCGGGGACTTTTTCATAACAAGAGTTCCTTGGTCTTTCAAACAGAAGCTAATCACCTGCGAGCGACGAATGTTGCGCTCCAACAGAAACAATCCTTGCCGCGCTAATATCGGCCCTTCGCGTCAAAGGTTTTTTCTTGACCGGGGTTCCAGTCAACAGCCCATGAGGTTGAAGTGCGGAATGGATGACATAGCACGGCCGGTTATGGTATCAGCTCGAGCCCAAGAGTGACAGGAAATACGATGATTTTCATCACTGTTACGCAATGGATAGTTAGACTATGGAGTGTCTCCTAAGAAAACCATTGCTCCACAAAAAAAAAAAAGGTCCATAATGACACGAAAGTGGATGGGCGAGTGATGACAAACGGATCTAGCCTTAGCATTCTCCGGCCAGACTGGTTTTTCCCAACCCCAGACATCATTGGTCACCACCCACAGAACAACTCAGGGTATCCCCATTTTATTCCTTCGTTCAGTCTGCATAGCAGCCTGGGCATATCGTTGTTCCTGGCTGAATCCTTTCTTGTCACGGATTTTCTTCGTAGGATTTACAGAGTACTACTATTGCCCTGCACACGTCATTTAAATGCTGAAAAGTCTCCGGCGTCTTTAAAGGATTCGACGTATACGGCAAACGGAGTATGTAGATACTGTCACAGTGGATACTGTAAAGAGCGGAAAGTCACCGTGGCATGTTTGTGAGGCGGGTGAATAGATAAGCTTTTTGTTTTGGTGAGAATCGGCTGACCACCATGACCTTAACACCGAAAAGGCCGCAAGGCTGACTGGCATTGCATTGCCTTAGGACAGTCTTTCGTACGCACTCCCTATGAGTGTCTAGTTGTGTACGAACCAATTCTGTTGATTGCCCAAGGGGTCTCCTTTGCGAAAGATGTGCATTGACGTTATAAGAAAACACGACGCCCACTCCGATTCAGCTCTGATGCAGCCAGCAGCCGAATGTGGAGTACACCTCCTGTACACACTTCGATAGTAGAATATATATTTTCTCGTGTATTGGGGTGGATCAAACCTGACAACCGTCCCGCCGTCGGAGGCGAGAAAACAGAGGCATCCAAGAGATGTCAAAGAAGAGAGACGTAGCAAAAGGCGCTGAACTATGAGGCATTGTTTGCAGTGTCCCCGTCGTTCTGAAGCTCTTCAAGCTTGTCAATGGCCCGTCCACCATGTTTGTTTACATTTGTTTGGGTCGACAAATTTCCATTGCCTGTGTTGCATGTGCGCTCCTTGTATCACGAAAACACCGGAATAGTAGCACAAAATGGACGGGACGGGCTTAACAATAATAATAAAAAATTTAAGCAGAAGCCGATGCAAAGCGAGCGGTAACACGGCAAGAGCCACCGAGCCGGACACGGGCCAGGCCGTGGGGGGTTAACAAAAGGGGAAGGCTACACCGCGCAGCACAGCCAATTATTGCTCTGTACTTTTGCGCTGGCATTTATTCTTCATCGAATCTGACCAGATTCGACCTCATTTGATCTCTTTCACCCACTTTTCTCGCTCGCACAATAAGGTTCCACGCGTCCCACCCTCCGCAGAGCGCACCCGGAGCATCTTCCGTAAAGACGGTTTAAAGACGCTAGAGTTGATCAGTATCGAAAGCTTTAAAGTTGTGAACAAATGTCCCCTTTCTGGCCCAACAATGAGTATTTTTGCCCAGTTTTAGGTACAACTCCGAGTCAGAAAGCAGAATACAGCATGTTTTGGTCAAGAATCTGAGATGCTTATGAACGAAAAGCAAATACGTATTCGTATTTCTCAAGTCTTTTACGCTTCATAATCTCCCATAAAAGTATCACGAAAACGAAGAAATAAAACACGACCAACTTTCAATAAGGGTCCTCCGTTTCTTCTGTCTCCAGAGTAAAATGTCAATGGATTGCTCGCTTACCGTTCTCTTCATCGGGACGCGAGCGACTTGAACGTATGCAACCACCGCAAGGCTTGTCTGTGGCACTCGCGGTTCAACCACGTTCTATAAGCGTATTACATCATAATTGAATGCCACTCGGTCACCGACATGTCGACAGCACAATCGTGTTGACCGCAACACACGTTGCAGCCTTTGGCAACATGGCAAGACACGTCTTCACCATGGCAAACTATTCTGTCGACGAGAGATTGCGTCGTTTCTCGACAAGACGACAACAACTCGAGACGACTGCGATGCCTTCGCGACTGGTCTCGGTGGCTGTTCGACCCCTGTGGACATCTAGGGCGTTCAGTTCGCCTCAAGTCTCTACAGCTGTCTCTGGAGATGTCACATATTGCTCGGTTAATTTACGGCGACTTTGTGCCGCGGGTCGAATATCGTTGCCAGCTCGGCGGAAACAATGTGGCCGAGAACGACGAAGCGGGCGCCATGGAACGCAAAAACTCGAAAACCTAGAGACCCAAAGAAGCCCTCATATACGTGGTGGGCTTTATTCTTTCCCACAACGCAGAGGTCTCAGAACCCTCGCCCGGCTTTGCCTAGTGGCGTATGAATCTAACGATTGGAGTGGCTATGTAAGCTTTTATTTACTACATGTAACGAAGAAAGATGATAATAATACTATTAGTAATAATAATAATAACATCAACCCATTGGATTTTTCACCCTCTCCTAGAAGAACCCCCAACATCTCGACGAAGCAAAAAAAAACGACATGCAAGAACAGCAGAAAGCCAAGCTAGAACCCCAAACGGTTGAACCCATTGTGCAGAGGGCGCTTGAAACGTTGCCAGACATCGTTTCAACGCTTCCTACGGTGCTCGAGAGCACAACGATTTCGGCACCTACAATGTTCTTGAACGAAAAGGGAGCAACACCCATTCAAGACGATAAATCTAGGACATACCGTATGCGTGATCGTGATGGTTGTTGATCAACCCAAGCACAAAAATGAAAGACTCGTTTCTTTACATCGACGATCATCGGGAGAAGACGCGAGAGACTTGCTGACAAGACCCCAATAAGGTGCTGCAATTTCAAGTCCCGCTTAACGACTTGAGAATGCTGCCCCGGGATGCATCAATTGCTGGCCGCAGCGTGCGAAGAAGGTCCTGCAGCGATGGAAGTGACAAGCGAGTCCGATATCGCCCGACGTGCAGCCATTGCAGAGCAATGCCAAATCAAAGCCAAAAGTCAACAAAAGCCTTATGAAAGAGGAGCCAGGGCATGCCTTGGTACGCCGTAGGGCATTGCTATTTCGTACTGAAATCCGAAAACGCATTCCGCACCCCTTGGCAATCTCGCGCTTTTCCAACGACGCGAACCAGACACGACATTGGCCCCCAATGCATACCTGCTTTCTCCGATGTATGCTGAAATCAAAAAAGACGAAAACAGATCGCTGTTATGCTGCCGTGCTGCCGTGCTACCGTGCTGCCGTGCTTGCTATGCTGCTCAGGAAATCGACCCAATATAAAACGCCAAGACATGCCCATACGAGCATGATGAGTAAACAACTGCGACAATAGCAAGAAAATGGCCCAAAAATAAAACAAAAAACAAAAACAAAGCCGCTCAAAACCGAACAGTCCACCGCTCGACGAAAATGGTAGCCAAAATGCTGTCTAGAATGAAAGCCCAAGACGCCGACAACCCGTTCACCGTTCCTTTCTTTTCGTCTATCACGTCTTCTTCGCCCTTTCAATAAGTCTCTGGTAGGTCGGAAAACGACGGAATCGTGCCCGACGAGCAGGAAAACGACCGCGACGACGCGTCCGCCGGGAGAATGCCTGCTGCCAGTCCTTTCCGGTACGACCACTGCGTGGCCGCCTCCGTGTCCCACGTCCAGTACCACCAGCCCCAGCCCGTCTCAAAGGCGTCCATTTGCGCTTCGGCAAACGTGAGGAGGAACTGCTTGTAGGCGTCCGCGTAGGTGCTGGGGTCGGCGTTGGCGTTGTTGCACGAGCACGTCGCGTCCTGGGCCGGGCACTTGGGCGTCAGCGCGTTGAGCGACGCGTTGCCCACGTCGTAGGTGCCGGTCCAGCGGTTGCCGTTGCCGACGTTGCCGAGGTACGGCGCGCAGTCCGTGTCTGCCTGCGACCACTCGGCTGTGATGGTCGGCCCGAAGCCGGTCGCCGTGTTCATGCTCTGTTCGGTCTGCGCCGTCCAGCCGCGGCACGCATACGTGATTTTCTCTTCGTGCGAATACACAATCTGGTCGTTGTTGAAGATCTCGTACTGGTGCACGTCGAGCGCCAGATTGTACGTGTTAGGCTGGCCCTGCCACTTGTCGAGGCCGCAGAATCCGTCGCCAAACACAATGATGGTCTCGTTGCTGACGCCGTTCTTGCGGATCAGTGCCGCGGCCGCCTGCGTCCAGTTCATCACCGACGCCATCGACAAGAATGTCATGCGCGGCTCGTTGGCCAGTCCGTAGTGCGAGATGACGTTCTTGTACCGCGGCTGGGAAAAGAACTGCGACAGCCTGTCGTGCACATCCAGCGACCGCTGCACGTTGAGCTCGCCGTCCGTCCCGTTCATCCAGCCAATGGCGCCCTGCCGGCCGCTGTGGTTCCAGCCGTTCTGGCTGCCCGGCAGGCCGTGCAAGTCGAGGTTGACGCGCAGGCCGTACTTGCGGGCCCACTCGATCCCGCGAAGCAGGTACCGCCAGCTCGTGCGAAAGAGATAGGGGTCGCCGTCGTAGACCTCGACGGCCCAGTACGAAAATGGAATGCGAACATGGTCGAGCCCGGCCGCAGCAATCTCCTGGAAGGTGGACTCCGTCACAAACGACGCGTAGTGGCTCTCGAGCGTGCTGCTGCACTTTGCTGCGCCCAGGTAGGCGCACAGCGTGTACTCGTCGACAATGCCCAGCCGTGAGTTGAAGTTGAAGAGGGAGGGCGTGATGAATGGCTCGAGAGACAGCCAGCCACCAAGGTTGACGCCCCTCGCTGGTGTCGTGCCGTAGGACCCCCATGCCTGGTTGAGCGGTTTCGTCTTGGCGTTGGCTGCTGCCGAGTCGTCGTAGCTTGTATTGAGGCCCATGACCGGCAGGCCGCCGACGGTTTCGCTCGTGTAGGTGAGGTTGAAGTCGGTCACAGAGGCCCAGCTGTACGGGTTCAGCCACGTCGGCGCTCCTGATGGGATGCTGGCGGGCGAAATGCAAGCGAGTCCGCTGCATCCTGAGCTGTCGGACGAGCCGGACGAAGAAGACCCACCACCACTACCACCGTGCTTTTTGCTCACAACCACGGCCACGACAGCAATGATGATGATCAAGATGGCACCGCCAATGCCTCCAAAGAGTACTGTCCATTGTTAGCTGAAGTGGGGAAAAGATGTTGGGGGCACGGACAAGGCAGAACGCGACCGGTTGACGTACCGAGCTTCTTCCTTTTGGTCCATGGCGGGGACTGTCGCTGCTTGGTGTAGTAAAGCTGCTCCTCCTTGACCTTTTGGATGGTATGGCCGGAGTTGCTGCTGTCGTTGCTGCCCCGGCTGCTCAGCCCGCCAAAGCCACCCCGTAAATGCCCCCGCCACTTGCCAAACAAGCCACCTCCAGCGGCCGCCGCAGCGGCCGTGGCGGTGGCAGCAGCCGCGGCGTCGTGGCGGTAACCGGCGCTGGTCTTGCGCAGCCCGCGTGACCGACCCTCCTCCAGCACGGCACCACTGGGTATCCGTCGATCGCGCCTGGAGCGGTGGCGCCGATCAGCGAAGCCGCCAGCCTCGACACGGTCGTATCCGTCGTCGTGGTCGTGGTCGTCCTCGTGGTCAATGTAGTAGTATTTTGATGTTCGTCGGTCTGTCGACTGCCTTTGTTGATGGTCGTATCGTTCGTTGCGGTCGTAGCGCTTTGCGTGTCTTGCTCGCCGCTCGTCGTCCGTGTCCTGCTCCCGTTCTGATTCCCGCCCACCGGCGCGCCCGTCCCGTCGTCGCGTGTGTCGTTCGTGACGCTCGTCGTCTCGCCGCGGCCGCCGCCATCGGTCATCGCTTTGTGTTCGCGACGACTCGTACTGGTCCTGGCTGTCTCGACGACGACTGTCTCGACGACGACTGTCTCGACGACCGCCTGCACCTGCACCTGCACTGTCGCGTCGACTGGGCTGCCGGCCTAGGCCCTCGTCCCGCTCGCGCCGTTCCCGCCGCTCTTCCTGCTCGCGCCTCGCTTCTCGCTCCTCGGCCTCTTCCCGGTCCCGCCTCTCGCGCCTCTCCCTCCTTTCCCGCCGCTCCTCCCGCTCGCGTCTGTCTTCTCGTCGTGCCTCGCGGTCGCCTCGCTCTCGTCGGTCCCTTCGCCGGTCGTCTCGCTGGGGCTGTGCTGCGCTGCTGCCGTCGCCGCTGCTGGACGGTGCGACCGCCGCGCCAGCATTCAGCTGTGCCAGTGCTTCCGCCGAGAGGGTGTGCGAGCTCGTGCCCCGCCGGCCGCTGCTCGACGGTTTGCGCTTCTTGGGCGTGCCACTCGCGGACCGGTGACGTCGTCGGCCGCCGGACTCGCGATGCCCGTCCGAATCGTACGACGGCATCGCCGCTGAGGAATGCACGCCGCAGACACAGCAGGAATGTAGCTTGTTGGACAAGGTCGGTTTTGGTGGATGCCGATTCGCCGGGGTAGTACCCGGTAGTGTGTATGTCGTGCTTGCGGTCGTGATGTGGAATGAAGCGGCCGCATGCCTTGCGGAGTCTGTCTTGTTTCGCACTGGGGCGTTGTTTGAATTTGCATCGAAAACACTGCAAATGATCCTGGGATGCGACTTCCCTTCTCAGCCAGTAAGAATAGCTGCTCTTGCCAAGAAACGAGACACTGCCATAGCGCAGCTTCCTTTTGCTGCCATATTTTGGCCTTGCTTCTCAATCTGGCATTTGTGGCCTTGCCCTGTGCGATTGTGGTCGCTCCTGCCAATTGTTTGGGTGGGGATGCGGGACCCCTGTGCCACGCAAGCCCGCAGTTGCCCTAGCAACAATCTAATCGCACTGCTCACATGTATATATACATATATATATATATTTATGCAGCACATTATCAATACACAGCAGAAAGTGCCGAGGAGCAAGTCGCACAGCATTTATTATGACATTTTCTTGTCCAAGGTCTGGCTGCGTAATTGATTGCGCCGAGCGAGTTTTCTCGTTTTCTCGTGTTGCCATGGTTGGTGATAAGTCGAATGCAACTCAGCAGAATACATCTACGCCACGTCGCCTCGGGCAATTTTCCGTGTCATTTCTGGTATTTGACATTGGCATTTGCGTTTTTGTCTGCGACTGGGGCAAACGCCCATTTTCCCTTGTAACTGTCTGCTGCACGCCCCGATCAGCTCTGGGCCGGCCCGCGGCAGCTTGCAAATCTCCGGCTTTTATCTGCCGGTGATCTGGGGTAGGGTGGCACAAAAACCAACACATAGGTCGGAGTTGTATACGCCGAGTGCAGCTCTGTGCTTTGATTTGCCAGTTGGTATTGCGTAGATATGGTAGAATGCGAGGTGCTGCAAACGAATTCCGTTAATTGCAAAAGAGTAATTTCGCACACACGACGAATATATAAGTAGGCTTCGATTTGGAGCAGCCAATCGCGCCTTCCCGCTGCGGCCTAATATTTTTACCTAGTTCTGGGATTCCTATACCGACCACTGGTCGTGGCTTCCCCATACTCTCGTTGTGGCTGGTGCTGGCGCCAGGTACCGTTAGGTGGCACGCTCCACTTTTAGGTCAACTGGAAAACGAGGGGAACCCGCTGGGAGCAGCAGCCAGAAGCCACACACCGGTCAAAGCCGACATAAGCCGCAGCTAGACGTGCTTCCTGCATTCAGTTCTGACCGTCGGCTCTTTCCTTGATCAACTTCGCCGAGCATTGCTCCCTACCAAATGGCATCGCCCTGAGTTCTACATTCTGTTTCTTCTTCCTTCACCAAGCCGATTGTTCAAACAATCTGTGTTCATTGCCAGCGATTACCAGAATGAAGGCCACGTCCGTTTCGCGCGTGCCGCGAGTGCTCCGTGCCGCAGCGTCCAGCCAGCCCTGTCCGCCTCTTTTTGCAGCCGCGTCGCCGACAGCAGCATCACAATTCTTCGTGGCGCCAAGACGGCGACAACAGTCGCCGAGCCTCTTCTCCGCGCCGCCGTCCTCCGTCTCCCGCCGTGCATACTCGTCCGGCGCACCCCCGAATGCCCGCCTCAATCTGCCCATCGACTATGGCACCACGCCGCTGCTGGCACACACATCGCAGGCCGCCCTGAGCAACCCGGAGCTGCCGGCCGAGATCCGCGGCGGCGCCACCAAGCGCATGAACCTGTACCAGGCGGTCAACGACGCCATGTCGATTGCGCTCGCCGAGGACGAGAGCGTGCTGCTGTTTGGCGAGGACGTGGCGTTTGGCGGCGTGTTCCGCTGCTCCATGAACCTCAAGGACACGTACGGCGACGAGCGCGTGTTCAACACGCCGCTGAGCGAGCAGGGCATCATGGGCTTCGGGATTGGCCTCGCCGCCGAGGGCATGCGGCCCATTGCCGAGATCCAGTTTGCCGACTATGTCTACCCGGCCTTTGACCAGCTGGTCAACGAGGCCGCCAAGTTCCGGTACCGCGACGGCGGCAACGGCCGCCACGTCGGCGGGCTGACGGTGCGCATGCCGTGCGGTGTCGTCGGCCACGGCGCGCTGTACCACTCGCAGTCGCCCGAGAGCCTCTTCACCCACATCCCGGGCCTGCGTGTTGTGCTGCCGCGGTCGCCCATGCAGGCCAAGGGCCTGCTGCTGGCGGCCATCCGCAGCAATGATCCCGTCGTGTTCCTCGAGCCTAAGATCCTGTACCGTGCGGCCGTCGAGCAGGTGCCCGTGGACGCGTACGAGCTGCCGCTGTCCAAGGCCGAGGTGCTCAAGGAGGGCGCCGACGTGACGGTTGTGTCGTACGGCCAGCCGCTGTACAACTGCATGAGTGCCATCAAGCAGGCCGAGGCGGACTTTACGGACAAGGGCAAGGACGGCCCCTTCTCGGTCGAGCTGATTGACCTGCGGACCATCTACCCCTGGGACAAGGAGACCGTGCTGCGCAGCGTGCGCAAGACGGGGCGGTGCATTGTGGTGCACGAGTCCATGGTGAACCAGGGCGTGGGTGCCGAGGTGGCCGCCACAATCCAGGAGGATTCGGATACGTTTGTGCGCCTGGAGGCGCCGGTGATGCGCGTGGCCGGCTGGAGCACACATATGCCGCTGGCGTTTGAGAAGTTTACCGTGCCAGATGTTGCAAGTAAGTCGACGCCGTCCTGTTGGGGTGCCATTGCAGAGAAACGCTCCGCCAGAATGCTGACAATGACTTCACAGGAATATACGATGCGATCAAGACATCGATGCAGTATTAGAGGGCAGATGGAAGCGTGCATTTGCATTACACGTCGCCAGCGACAAAAGACACCGGGGAGCGCACTGTATCTCCCTATGGATACGAATGGATTGCCAAAGCGAGACGCATGTAGACCTGTGTTTGAATGTATATACTTTAACCGGAGTACGCGTGCTTATGAACAACGTGAATACTGCAGAGGAAAGGACTGCTGTAGATTGCAGCGTGTTTCAGCACGATTATGCGGCCAGAAGCGGCGCTGCAGCGATTCCACAGCGCTATTGGCCTATATGGGCGCCTTCTTAGCGTAGTGCATGGCCCAGGATTGGCGGCAGCCTTCCGCCCCTCGCCTAGTCTGCCCCGCATCGGACCTTCGCGGCCACCCAAGCATCGACCTCAAAGCCCCTTTACGGTGTAGCTCGCGATCACGACCCTGCGCCCTGCCCAACGCCATCGACGCATCGGACGAAGCGCGGTTGCCAGTGACTTTTTTTCGTTTGCGTTCTTTCGTGTCTAGCACTTGCTTTCTTTTTCAATCGACGTCGACGACGGCAACGACGACGACCCCGAACCCTCTCCATCTCGTTCTCACCTTTGTCCGTCAAGCAAACTGCCGCAAGCAATGTCCGACGCCGACATTGTGTCTTCCTTTGTGGAGGGCGCACCCCCCGGCGAGGTAGGTCGCCGTGCCGTATGCGCCGCCATGACGTGCGGCACCGCAGGCTAACAAGCACAGCTCGCCAGCGTCATTGCCGACATCGAGTCCCTCACAATCTCCAAGCCCAGGCTCACCGACGACCTCGCGCCCGCGTTCGCCAAGTACAACGAGGACCAGTTTACGACGGTGCAGCTGCCCGGCAGCGCGGCGGGCAGCCAACCGGCGATTGTCAGCGTCGACAGCCGCGTCGATCCGGACGACGACAGCCGCTACTACGACCCGTCGAGCGCCACCAGCTTCGCCTTTGACCACCGCACGCAAAAGGCCAGCGCCGCCCAGAGCCACGCCGTCGACAGTGACCTTGCGTATGTTCTTACCGTCCTCGCGCCTCGCGCCTCACATCTCTCGCTTGTTGTCGTTTTGTCTTGCCACGTCGTCCCGTCGTACTTTGCTAACATGACAACGGCAGGGCCTCCACCCTCAAATCGCTGGCCACCTACGTCAAGGACCACTTTGAACGCCCCGCCTTTGGCGTCTACCCCATCGACAACGGCGCCCGCATCGCCATCCTCATTGTCAGCAACAAGTACAGCCCGCAGAACTTTTGGAACGGCCGCTGGCGGTCGCGCTACGTGTTTGACCCGTCCACCGGCAGCCTCGAGGGCACCATCCGCATCGACGTGCACTACTACGAGGACGGCAACGTGCGCCTCCTGACGGACAAGCCGCAGTCGGCCACCGTCGCGGGCGGCGGCAGCGGCAGCGGCAGCGGCGCGGCGCTGGCCCGCGAGATCGCGTCGCTCGAAAAGGCCTACCAAGAAGAGCTCAACAAGAAGTTTTTGTCCCTCAGCGAGGGCGCGTTCAAGGGTCTGCGGCGGCAGCTGCCGGTCACGCGGCAAAAGATTGAGTGGGACAAGGTCGCGAGCTACCGGCTGGGACAGGACATTGGCGGCGGTGCAAGCGGGCGGAGGTAGATGGTTGCGGCCAGCACCGGAGGGAGAAACGCTGTACGAGGGCCAGGTCGTATAACTACAGCGAACCGAGAAGCATCCTCGCCTTTGGGATAGTTTCACGAAAATAGGACATCAATGGATTTGCAAATGTAAAACATGCGAAGAATAGGCGAACCGTACGGAAGGCTACAAAGTATCTACACGGAAACGTGCTTGGGCGGAAGCCGGGGAACGGAAGAAGTAGTCAACCTCAACGCCAAGTGTAGAGTGTAATCTCAAGGTGGTACCCGACGGCACTTATGGCAATAATAGACCACTGGCATCCGAAGAACCGGGGGAGAAGCCACCGTAGTAAAAGACGGAGTATATGTGACACTGCCGGCGTTGAATCAGCTCCATATATATAGTTTTATCCGATGCAACTCATAAACGTAGGTCTCCAGCGGTTTCTGCTGATGCCAGTCACCACGCCCAAAGATCTCTGCGAAAAGAAAATCAGTCTAAAACGGTTGTAAATTGACGGTCTGTATGGCATCTAACTAGTAAAGGAGCGACCAGCCTGCACGTCATGCTCTGTTTTAAAGCAAACGCAGACTCGACTCTATCCCGGCTGTGTCTAGTCATTATGTACACAACTTGCCACGCACGCCCGGCAAAGGGCGTGCTATTCACGAGTTGGGGTTAAGAAGGAAGAAATTTCAATAAGAGCTTCAACAAGAAGTTCAACAAGAGGATGGTTGACGAGCACGAGTCAAGCGCAGCCTCTTCTCACCCCCCCGTGCTCATGCTCATTAACCAAAACGTGCCAGAACCGCTTCCTTGCCCTCTTCACCATGCATAAGGAAACGCTTGGTTCGTCCGTCCTCGGTACTCGGGTTCGCTCTCTTTTGTTAGACGTGAATGCAGCGCGAGGACACGAGGCCCTTCTCCCTGTGTTTCAGTCAGCGCTGCACTGAGCTAGCCTCAACGCTCAGCATATAGCCGCTTCTGCTTATATCATCTCCCCTTCTTTATAAAATTTTGGCCGCTGAAAGCAGCTGCAGCGTGTGCTCCCGGTCTTATTTTCTGTTCTCATTTTAATTTTTTAGGGCAAGAATATGAGGTGCTTCCTTTTGGCACCGTAAGGCTTTCATTTCAAGACAATTCACCTTGATCGTAGTCATTCTCTATTAATTTTGTTCAACGGGGCAGGCCGGCGTGTAGGCAGAAGCGGGAAAGGGGGAAATTGGAGGTCCGGGAGGTCGCCGTATGAGACCTAGACGATATGGAAAATGTATACTGGCTTGATTCGTTTCGTTGTGAAAATGATATAGTCGTCGGGTCGCTCGTTGTCCATCAAAACAAGGCCGGCGATCATAAGAAAAAAGTGGATGGACGAGGGTCCCTTTGAAAAAGCCGTTCCGGCGGCGGTGGTAGGGACGAGGGGGGACACGAGCTATTATCAGATGCTGGGTGCCAGCATCGGTTGTTGGCTTGTTTCAACCCGCAGCTGTGGCTGTGGCGGCCGTCGAGCCGTTAGCTTGTGGCTGGGCCGGTGCTTGTGACTGCTGGCGCTTCGATGGCGGTGCGTTATTGTCCTCCTGGGCGTTCCGTTTCTTGGCACCGTTGGCCGAGGCTCCTGATGCATTGCGGCGGGCACCGAGACGAGGAGGGCGAACTGCCTTCACAGGCTTCACCTCGCCAGCCTCGAAGACGTCGTCGGGTAGGCCGAAGCTATATCTCGTTAGAAGGAGTGTTTTAGGTGTTTTGGGTGTTTTGGGTGCTATGGGTGCAAGGGGTATCGTGTATCGTCGTTGTTGCCAACAAAAAGTACTTACTTGCGCACATGCTGGATGCTCAATGTGCAGGTCTTGTTCAGCTTCTCCTTATACTTGTCCCAAGCAAAGCAGAGCTCCTTAAATTCTTCCACCTGGAAGGACAGATCGAGAGCTTTGGCTCCTGGATTAGTTAGCATGGAGCGATAGGGACAAAGAGAGGAAGACAAAGAATCCAAAATATGGGGATCAGAAGAGACCATACCCTCGACAAGTTCGATACCAATGTAGTGTGTCAATGTGAAGACCTCGGTCGGTTTAAACGACTCCGCATCAGCATCAGCGTCACCATGGGCCTCCGCGTCGGCACCGTCCTTTGCTTCGCCATTCGTCTCGGCACTGGCAGCAGCGCCAGCAGCCTCGCGTCCGTCTTCGTCCGGTTTCTTGAGGTATTCCAGGCTGCCGTTTTGAACCGCCTCCGACTCCGCTGCGGTCTTGCAGAAATGTGTCCGCTCATAGCCCTTGTTGAAGGCGCGGGCCAGCGAGATAGACGGGTGCCGCTCCAGACCCTGCACAAGCACGCGCACCTTGGACTCGACGAAACCCGACCACACGTTCTGCGACTCCTTGTCTGTACTGGACGATATGACAGAGATGTAGTACTTGAAGTCGGTCGTGAAGAAGCTGTGCTTGACAAACAGGTCCTTCCAGGGCTGCCGGCCAGAGATGATCATCTGGGCCGTCTCCGAGGCCCGCTCGAGCTCCCGCTTGATGATGGACAGGGAGGATTGCGAGATGTTGTAGGTGGCGCACATGGACGGGTATGCCGGCGTGATGATGGGCATAATGTGGTATTGGTCACCACGGTACACCTTGGGGTTCCAGACGCGAACGGGGAGCGGCCCGTCCTCGATCGGCTTGAGGAGCACCGGATTGGGCCACGGCCACCGCAGGATGATGCCAAAGAACTTGGACACAATGACGGCGCCGGTCGCCTTGGGGTACAGCTGGCACACGCGGGCCACCATCATGGCCCACGCCACGCCACCGGGGAAGCCCATGATGTTGGCGTAGATGGCGCGCCGTTGGGCCCAGAGCTTGATCGCGCGCAGGGCATCACGAAAGGTGCGCTGCTCGGGCACGAGGCTCAGGATCTCGTCCGTGACACGGGTGCCATTGACAGACCGCAGCTCGGGCTCGTCGAGGCCGCGCAGCAGGTTCGAGTCCTTGAGGCCCCAGCGCTCGTCGGCCGGCAGCTGTGTCAGAAGAACGCGCGAGAAGATCAGATCGATGCTGATGCCCGAGTACTCGAACTTGATGATGGGCACAAAGGCGTCCTCGACGGCCGTCAGGTCGGTGATGGCGCCCGGTGGCGACATGGACTGCAGCATCTCGGGGAAATAGAGGAAGTAGTCCTCGCGGGTGACATACTTGGGCGCCACGACGAGGGTGTCGATGTCGGAGCCAGGCATGTACACGCCGAGACGGAAGCTGCCGTACGTGAAGATCTTGGCGACCGCGTCCTTGGAGAGTGTCGGGTTGTCGGGGGCGCGTTCCTTGGCAACACGCTTGACGAAGGCATCGGCGACAAGTCGGAGCGAATCGAGGACTTTGAATCTGGAGGGAAGAAGAAAACGACATTGTTAGCATCGACAACTAAGGTCTGCCACTAGAACCGCTCTAGAAAGCCGCCTGCATTCCATCGAGAGCGCATCATCCACGACGGCGATCGCCCTCCCATCCATCGACCACCCATCGACCACCCATCCCTTACCGTTTCTGTGTCTCCGCCGTGCTCTCAAACGTCCCCTGATCTCGCAGCTCTTCGAGCAGCGCGTCGGTCGCGCGGCGTTGCTCCTCCGTCGGCATCTCCGTCGACAACGGGGGCGTCACGCCGTACTGCTTTTCGGAATTCATGGCGGCCGGTGACGATGTCGATGTGTCGAGGGAGGGGGGAGAGATGGGAGGGAGAAAGAGGGGAGCAAAGCGAGAGAGAGGAGGAAAAAAAAAAGAATTGCAGAAGAGGCAGATCAGGAAGGATGGAGAAAGAACGGCGTTCCCTAGTTTGCCGGGTTCGAGTAGCTCCTTCCCTTTTTTGTCAGAGAGAGAGAGCGCGTTTTGATTGAATTAAAGTGGAGCCACTGTTGCGTGTATGTCTACGGCGTAGTGTCAAGGGTGCAGCGGAATTAGCGCTGCACGGGGCGCCTGAAAGGGACATTTGTAGAGGCTATCACGTGCAACAAGGTTCGACAGCTGTCCCTGTAAGCTTCAGAGTCGAACGCTAAAGCGACTGTGCGAATAGCGACAGCCGACGAAATCACCAAGAGATCAAAACAGACGTCTCCGTTTGCTTCAATTTCAATAATTGCATTTCATTTCGTTGGTATTGCAACGGTATGTGTAGAATAGAGCGTTTCTTGCCGAGAAATACAAGTAGTAAGAGAAGTAGCATCCAGTTCCCATGAAAAATGCCAAACGCCCTTAGATATGCCCTTCTGTGTCCCATGGTATTGGTGAATGGCAATGCAAGAAAGACAAAGAAAAGTAACGGAAAGAGTCAGTACAAAGATATGAGAAACAACAAAACGACAACCAAAATCAAAATCAAACAAATATGTGGCATCTGACAAGTGCGCAGACACGCCACAAAGCACACGTCCGAGTGCCACCACCACGAGGGCCGACAAACGGACCGGACGACGCGGCCTAGCGCTCGCCGTTCCACAACCGTGACCACTCGCCCATGACCCAGTCGTACACCTGCAGGTGGTAGTTGTGCCTGGCCATCCACAGGGCCATGCCACCCAGGACGCTCAGGCCGCCCAGGACTTCGAGCACGAGCATGCCGCGCGCGCGCAGGCCGGCCGTGACCTGGAGCAGGCCAAGAGGATCCTCGTGCGAAAAGGTAGACGACGACGACGACGACGACGACAAGGACCACCCGGCGCTCTTCGTCGCCGTCTTCTTTTTCTTCTTGGCGAGTTTGGCCTGCTCCTGTTTCGTTTGGCGGACAATGTCGCGCGCAGCGGGCGGCACGGCGACCAGCGTACCGTCCTGGACACACTCGCTCAGCCGCTCGGTGAGCCAGACGGCGCGCTCGTTGCGGGCCAGGTTCTCGTAGTGGGCGCGCTCGCTGTCGAGGCTGCGCTGCAGCTCGGCCGCCCAGTTCGCCAGGCGGATCCGCGCGAGGTGCTCTTCGCGCTGCGTGTGGTCGGTGATGCGGGCCAGCGCAAACGACGACGGCGCCCCGAGCGGCGTGGTCAGCACACCGGGACGGGCGCCCGCGCTGCCCGGGCTGCCGGGAAGAATGCCGAGCTCGTTTCCGCCGCCCAGGCCGAGCGGCCGGTAGAGCGACTGTGGACGCAAAGGACTGTCGGCTGCGTCAGACCGCCGCCACTTGGCAAACTTTTGGGCCGCAGCATGCCGCAGCCGCGAGATGCCGTCGCGACAAAAAACCTGCTCAACGAGAGCGGCGAGATCGGTCGGGACCAGCGGTTGGACGTAGTCGGGGCTCATGAGCAGGCTGGCATCCATCACGTCGTGGTCGGACCCGTTGGCGCTTGATACGGCGTACGGCTGGGGGAGGCCCGAAGACGACGCCAAGGTGAGGGCCAGGTCTTGCGTTGCTGTCGGGACCGTAAAGACAAACGGTTTGATGTTCGCCTCGTGAAGCTGCCGGGCAATTGTCTCCTTTGCCTCGGCAATGTCCTTGTCCGCATGCAATGTGTCGGCCCGCGCCAGGACTGGAATGACATTCGTCAGTGGCGTCAAAAGCCGCAGATATTCGATATCAGCCGGCGTAAGGTGGCCTGAGATCATGTAGAACACGGCATCGACGGAAGTGCCACCGTCGCCACTGACAAGGCCGACAAAGTCTGCGTCACTCAGCGAGTTTGTGCAGAGCTTCTTGAGATACCCTTCGACATATTCGACAACAGGCATGATGGTGTCCATGGTCTTGTGGGAAACGTTAGCATGGACGCCATAAACAGTTTTAAACAGTTTTTGTTGCAAGCTGGGGTGAAACTGACCGATGTATTCCTTGTGAAGCCTGGTGTGTCCACAAAACAAATGTTTCGGTCGAGCACGTTGTCACCGAGACTCTTTCTCCGCCGCACGCCACCCGCATCGCTGACCTCGTTCCACCACGTCGGGTACGGCTTTGTGCTGGCATAGATCTCGGTGATGTCGTTGGTGGAGAGGTCTGGGCGAGTCGACCGAGACGACTTGCGACGAGCGCGAACTGTGCTCTGGCCTCCTCCGTCGGGCATGTTCGTGGTGGACGTTCCGGATACGGCCGCTGTCGTTGTCGCTGTCGCTGCCGATGACCGCCGTGTCCCGCTCAGTGAGAAAGACGTCGGCGTGACGTGGTCGACGTGGACAATGTGCGGGCAGGACTGCACGATGGCTTTGATGAGAGACGTTTTGCCGAGGCCTGGCGTGGGTTAGGAACACCTGCAATGAGCCATGTGAATTGAACGGAGGGAAAAGGAATACACACCTGAGTCACCGGCAATCAGCACCTTGAGACGCCCCATGTTCTTGCCCTCCTCGGTAAACGGCCGCCGACTCGGCATCTTGATGCTGGGCATGATCAGCTGCGGGGCACTGCCGCTGTCCATCATCATGCTGTCCGTATCGGTTGTCGAAAAACCCGCGGACGAAGCGCCGAGGAGAAACGAGGCAGTCGTGGCGGCCGCAGCAGCTCCTGCCGCGTCGGACGAAGAGTGGTCTGCCTCGCGGCGGCTGGCTGCTATGCGGTCCGTCGTGGGCGTCTCGCGGGTCGTTTCATTCGCGCTGGCAATTCCTGCACCGCTGATGCTCGGCCCAAAGCTGATACTGCCCGGGCCCCTGTCCAGATCGAAACTCATGTCACGACTGATCGGTCCGTCGCCTCCGGCACTGCCGCCGACGGAGGGATCGTCCATCAGCAGCGAGCCACTTAGCGAGTCCTGCCGGGATGACGGGCTGCTCGTGGCAGACAGCGAGGCAGGGCCCGGCGTGCCGAACAAGCTCGTCGAAGTCGACTGGGAGAAAAGCGGAGAGAAATTGGGCGGCAAGGACGGCGGGTGCGAGGTCGTGATCGAGTGGGCATGCCCGTGGCGGGCCTGGTGCTGTCGAGAGAGATCGGGTGTACTTGGCCGAGGTTCCTGGCTTTTGTCGTCGTCGCCGGCAGCACCACTCACGCGGTCACGAGCTGGCTGTGCCGTGGGAGCTGTGGGAAATGTGAGACTGGGGGCCGCTGCGTGTGATGCTTTCCCAGTATTGCCCTGGGTCGAGCTGCCTGCCGCCATCTTGTTGTGTGGAAAATGCCGTGCGTTCTGAAGAAGCGCTGCCTTGAAGCTCTCCGGGTCGCGGCCGGCCGCCTCGATGGCAGCAGCTTCGATAGCGGCGTCCACATCGTCTTCGTCGGCCACAAAGTACGTCACCATAGGGCTGGCACCGACCCCGCTGCCACTACTGCTGGGTCCGACATTGCCGGCTGTGCTGCTGCTGTTGCCACCAGCGAGAACATGGCCCCCGCTGGCCAAGGGTGTCGCCACAGCGTCAGAGTCCGCGGCGGCGACATGCCGCGGGCGCCCAAAGGCCTCGGATGGGCGCATGATAAGAGGATAGACTGACAAAATGGAGACACAAGGGGCGCTGACGTGGTACGGCGACGGCAAAAAAAAAAAAAGCTACATGTGTTGTGGACAGAAAAAGGGAGGATCTCTGGAGTGCAAAGCGACACGGATCAGAAAGACAGGAGAGGTGTCACAAGAGTACTCGGTAAGAATGGGGGCGGGGGGTCCGTACGGTCCGCCGTTCAGGAGGACGTGGTTTCTGACGAAAGGAGACACACGGAGACAGGAAAGGAGTGATGTTGAGGTTTACAAAGTGACAAGGTGACCGTCGAGAAAAGAGACGAAGAGTGTGGTTGTGTGATGTCCAGGAAAGGAAACTGTCACTGCGAGCCTGAGAGCAGGTTTGGGCCTTCCTTCCCCCTCACGGCCGTCCAAGATAAGCAGGCACGCGGTACAGCACGGGGCGATCTTGCTCTCTCAACTGCCAAATGGCGTAACCGTTGGGCCAAGAGGAAGGCACGGTCCAACGAGCAAAGCGTCCCTGCCGCCCTATGAGTGCGTGCGAATGGGTCGAACCCCGCCTTTCCCGCTGCTGGCGTGTCGAGGAAGGGGCGAACAGCGTAGGCGCGTGAGCGTGCAGTGCACGGAGTATTAGCGAGACAGTGAGGCAGGAGTGAGGGTCGTCGACTGCCCCGCTTTCGTGCGGCGGGCCGGACACTTGTTAGTGACTTCTGTGGGGGCTACGTTATAGCGCGTTAGTAGGCTGGTTCGCGGTTGCAGTGGCGGAATAGGTGCAGCGCGTGACTGCTATGAACATTGCTCAGTATAAGAGGCACATCATCACGGCATGTTGTCATTTTCTGGCCAGGTTTAGCTCATATTCATGTTGCTAATGATCTATGTAATTCTCCGTTTGTGTTTGGATCGGTGTCCGAGTCCCCGACGATGCTTATTTTGCCGTCTTTTTTCAGGCCGATACCTCCAATGCCAAATAAAACGAACAAAACGAAATAAACAGCATCCCATGAAAAGCAGCCGGTGTGACGACGGCCTATAGTTTCATATTGTGAAACGGTGCAGCACGGGCAACAGTCCGCGCTTCCAGCCATACACTTCCTAGCGCTGGCTCTCGCGCTCGGTCTCGCCTCGCCGTGACCGATCGCCGGCATCGTCTGCGACGATAGCTTCACCACGGCGACCCTTTCGTCGGCTGCGCCGTCCACCGCCTCCACCATTGCCTCCACCTCCTCCACCTCCTCCACCAGCGTTTCCGTCGTCAGCGTCGTCACGGCCGCGCTTCGACCCGGCGACCAAGCTTGATATGCCGGCCCGCTTCTGTGCCTCGGCGGCCACACGTTCTCGCGTCCGTCTCTCGCGCTCGGCAGCATACGGATCGCTGCTGCCACCAGTCGCGGCCGCGCCCTTTGTTCTTTCGGTGCTGTTGCTGCCGCCGCCCTTGTCGCGGCCGCTGTCCCGATCGCGATCCCTCTCGCGGTCTCGGTCTCGGTCTTGATTTCGGTCTCGGTCTCGGTCTCGGCCACTGCGGTCGCGACGGTCGCTGCGGTCCTTGTCGCGCCGGTCCTTGTCTTTTCCGCGGTCACGGCTGCGGTCTCGATCGCGGTCACTGTCTCTGTGAGACCGACGGCGGTAGTCGTCACGATCACGGTCACGGCCACGATCCCGTTCCCGTTCCCGTTCCCGTTCCCGTTCCCTCTCTCGATCACGGTCAAGAACCCGGTCACGGTCGCGGTGCTCGCGGTCACGTCTCTTATCTGTGTCGCGGTCGCGGTGGCTGCGATGGCCGCCAGACCGTCGCGACTCGTCGAGGGGCGACATGGACCGCGTGCGCACTGCTGCCGCTGCATCGGCAGAGGCCTTGGCGGCTGACCGCTCCTCCTCGGCAAGGCGGTTCTCACGTTTGCGCCGGTTCTTCCGTCCACCACGGTTCTTACGCCGCGGTCGAGCCCCAGTACCGTGCGGCTTGTCTGTGCCCCCTTCTTCTTCTTCGGGTTGGTCGGCGTCCTCCCGTGTCAGTGAATCGCGCGAGTGTTCGCGCCGGCGGCCGTGGCTGGACCGCGATTCAGACCGGCCGCGTTCGTCGTCGCCGTTGTCGTGGTGGTCGCGCGTGGGGCCATCGTCCCAGTCATCGTGCTGCTCATAGTCGAGGTCCGGATCGTTGCTCGTGCGCTTGTCGGCGGCCAGCACATCCACGCCCTGCGTGTCCTTTTGGTCGTGGTCGGGGTCGAGGTCACGGCCGGCGGACGGTTTGCGCTTGTAGCCGTCACTCTCATGCCGGTCGCTGTGCCGGTGCCCATTACGACGGTCGCGGTCACGACTACGGTCGCGGCTGCGCTCTCGATGGCGGTCACGATCATGATCACGGTCGCGGCGTTTGGTGCTGACCGAGTTGCTTCGCGACCGGCCGTGGCCACTGTGTTCCGTCACGGTTGGGCTGTTGTGGGCCGAGCCGTTCGTGGTTGCGACCGGGCGGTCGTCGGTGAGAAAGCCGCGCGCGCGGAGGTGCAGTGTGCTGGTGTTGGGCAGACCCTGGCGCATGGCCTTGGGACCGCTGGGGGCGTTGAGCGGTACATCTGGGGCAGGGCCGAGAACACGTGCAGCGCCGCCCATGCCAAACTGGCCGTGAGGAGCAAAGCCGCCTTGACCGCCGTTCGGGATGAACTGGCCGCCGTCGCGCGACTCAAAGGTAGGAATCGAAGATGTCGGCGTCTTATCAGTGGACTCGTTGGGTGCGCCGGAGTCATCCTCTACTGACTGCTTCATGCCTTCGGGTCCATTCTGGGTCTGGACAGCACCCTTGTCGGTCATTTCAGTGTCGTCGCCATTTGCGTTGCCCTCGGCGCTACCATTACCATTGTCCTCGCTTTCTTCACTATTGCCGTTACCATTGACATTGATATTGCCGAAGCCGTTTGGTCCCTGTCCCTGATGCTGGCCAAAGTTGCTCTGGCCTTGGAACTGGAAGTTGTTGCTGTTCATATCGTTCATACCGTTCATACCGTTCATGCCGTTAGGCCCATAGCCGTTGCCGCCATTATAATTGCCGTGGTTGTTGTAGATGTTGTTGAAGCCACCACGGCCGGCGTTGTAGTTGCTGTTGTAATACCCGCGCCCGCGGCCTCTTCCACGCCCAAAACCGCGATAGTTATTGAATTGGTTCTGGTTTTGGTAGCCAAAGTTACCCTGCTGATTGTAGCCCTGGTTGAAGGCACCGTTATACGACCCGAAATCCCCGTTACCCATGCCCGAAGCATTTGGATGATTGAAATTGTCTTGGCCGCCATTCCATGCTTGCTGCCCACCGCCAAACCCGCTACCCATCATGTTCGGAAACCCGCCATTCATAAACATACCCTGCATCGACGGATCCACGCTTATTCCAGGCATGCCTACAGATTGTGTTAGCCGTCGTCAACAACCAAGGGGAAAAGAGTACAGGTCGTCGTGACATACCCATCATAGGGAAACCAAAGTTGCCCGGCATCATGCCGTTCTGCACTGCCATCATCATCTGCATCTGGTTCATATCACCGCCCATGCTGTTGTTCATGCCCGAAAAGGCACCGTTCGCGCCCGGTATGTTGAATCCGCCCATGCCATTTGCATTGCCGCCGGCGACCTGGTTGCCGGCATCACCTGTCGCGGCATCTTGGCCCTCTTGGGCATCGACTGCTTGGCCATCACTGGCGGGTGCCGGTTCGCCATCGCCGTCTGCCATGGGCTCTGTGCCGTCTTGTTGCGTTGGCTCTGCTGTGGCATTGTTGAGTTGTGATGTTGCGATCGTAGTTGTCTTGTGCCGCGGTTAAAGGCATGTTAGCAAATTGTACGTTCCAAGAATGTGCCGAGTACAGTGCGTTCTCCTTTAGCTGTTTCGTCGTTACGAAACCGAGACTGCTGCGGGTACCATCAATGGGAACACGCAGAAACAACAAAAAAACGAAAATTACGAACAGTTTGGTTAGCTGTGTCAGCACTAAGGTTGTTGTCGCCGCTGGCTAGAGCAGCCCCGTCGGCGGGGACATCATCTTCTTGCTGCCTTGCGCCTGCTTGGCCATTGTCTTGCATTTGTGAATCTTCGGCTCCAGACTGAAACTGAGCATTATCCAAAGGGTTTGAAGAATACGATGAAGAAAGATTGGTGCCCTGGCCCTGCATCTGGCCCCGGCTCTGGCTTTGTTCCTGGCCTTGCTGTGCCTCTCCCACTGCACTTGTAGCCACAGCCACCCCGTCCATCGCAGTTGCCGCTGTCGCCGCTGCCGCCGCCGCCGGAGCCGCCGCCGACTCCACAGGCGTGGCCGGCGCGACCGGTGTCGCGTCTTTGGTCTGCTTTGCGCGGTTTGTTTCGCGCTTCTTGAGTTCCGTCTTGATGAAGACGCGGATCGTCGACCGCATCACCTTGTTCGGATTGCAGTCGGCCGCAGAGAGCGGCGTGTGTTCGCACACGGGACATGTCGAGGGAAGCGTCGCATGGCCTGTGTCCAGCGTCAGTTTTTGCTGTTGGGGTACAGTGACCATCATCGTCGGGAAACTCACAGTTCTCGTCAATGAGCTGCTCGCAGCACGGCAGCTTGAAAGCGTTGACTGCCAACTTGCTGCAGATGGCACAGCGCAGCTTGGTCGGAATATCGTCTTCCGTCAGGGAGCTGCACAACAGGGCATATTGTTAGTTACTGTAAAGAGGCAGACGATGTCGACAAAGAAGGATAATGCCGTGCATTGCCAGCAGACGTACTTCACCAGCTCCACCTCCGCAGGGGAGAGTGCCTTGGCCGCCATCGCGAGAGAAAACCACGCAGGTAACGAGAGCAAGCAATCGGCGAGTTGCTTATTCGACGTGGTAGTCCATCAGAGTCGGAGGACTGTGATCAAGTCGGCGGAGGACCCAAAGGGACGTCAAACAAGAGGCCGAAAGACGCCAAAGACGCAAAACGTAAGGATAATTGAAGAGTAGGAGTTGCTGTCGCGTCCGCCTTCAGCATCCGTCCACACTCTACGACTCCGATTGCGCGAGAAAAGATCTGGATGCGTTTCGTCGGTGTTGGTGACCGGAGGATTCGCGTTGTCGTGGCCAAGAAGAAAGTGAAGCGTGAAGATCTTTTTAGCGGAGAATTTGGAATTTGGGTTCGCTTAAGTCAACTTCGCCGCCCCTTCCAATTCGCGGTCGCGCTAAAACTCTGTCACGTGCGCACGTTGAAGGATTGGCCGCCTTGCATCTTAGATCACCCAAAGAGGCAAGAGCTAGAACGACATCGTCCCTCTCAAATGGAGAAGAAAGAATACGGAAATTGTGCAAATTTGTCAATTTGACGCCACGGACAGTTTCATTCTTTCTAGAGGGTATTTTTGTTCCAAAAGAAAAGAGTCAAAAAAGGAGAAAAGGGGCGGCGTGGCTGCAGGTGGCAACTCAACAGCTACAGCAGTGAACCGCCACATATGGCAGCCTTGTGATATTGCTGGACGGCAACTTATGGCAGCCACAACCGAAGTCAGAGGCTGTGGCGGGCCCGATGTAGAAAATTATTTAAAATATGTGATTACATTCTAATGCTGTTAATTGAGACATATGCTGGCCACACTGAGGCAGCAAATCTCGAACGCCACCTCTCGTTACTGCTTTATAAATCCTAATGCAGAGGTGGCAGGCTACGAAATAGGAAGACATGACCATAGACACGGGACGAGAACAAGTACTGGAAATGCGGGTTGGCATCCGCTTTTTGTCTTTTGTCTATCTGGTACCCAGTATCCCGCCGGTCTCTTGCAATCTTGACCATTCCAAAAAGGTAGACGCAATTCGTGAGACAAGATTTTTTTTTTGGAAAAAAGATGAAATTTTTTATTTTTTATTTTGGTGCCCTAGATATTCCGTCCCAGGTGCGCAGCATAGCATCGTATCGTATCGTATCGAATAAACGACTCGGATCGATCCGCTTACTGCTCGGTCTGGAAGTAGTTGAGCAGGATGGAGCGCTCCTGCGACTCCTCACCCCAGTCCTTGACAACGACGCAAGAGCAGTTGACAACCTTGCGGGCATTGCCCTCGCGGTCGAGAACGCCTGTAAAATGTTAGAAGAAGTGAACGAATGGACAGAGTGGGCAAAGGAAACGCCAAAACGTCCTGTGTCAAGCGGCCCAAGGCGGGGTGGCGGGAGGAGGAAATAAAACACGTACACAGGCCAGCCCACTCGCCGAGCTGCTTGCCGTCAGGGACCTTGATCAGAGGGATCTTGTGCTCGGAGCACAGGGCAATGACGAGCTTCTTGTAGGCATCCTCCTCGCAGGCCTCGTTCAGGACGCACATGTGCGCCTGGCGGCGGTCGAGGGCCTTGGACGCCTCGCGCAGACCGCGGGCAAGACCGTCGTGGATCAGGGAAAGGCGCAGAACGCCCTTGAGGGCGTCCAGAACCGACATCTGGCCCTTGGAGGCGGCATCGGCCGAAACCTCAACCTCCTCCTGGACCTCGGGCTGGTTATCTTCTACGTCCGACTGTTGTGCAAAACGTCTGGTCAGCACGCGCTCCATATGTCGTTTCAAATGGCTGCTCTTGTATCTCTCGTCCCGTGTGTCCGTCGTCGTTGTCCGTCCTCTCCTCGCCGCCGCAGACGCCCCGCGTTTCCCCTGGGTGGCGTGTCGATTTCTCGAGTAATTCGGAGCGGAGGGGTTGCTGGACAAGGCGGCGGCTCCGACCGAGCGTTGTCGGCCAGCGGGCGGAGAGAACGGCGGCGAGACAGGTTCCGTGCAGAATCCAGTTGCAACTTACCATCTTTAATGTTCAGTTGTCTTGAAGTTGTCGATACGATCCTCGAAGAGTTTGGTGATGGGAATTTTGTGTTGTCGTGAAAAGAAGCAGGTGGTAACTTGGCGGATTTTTTTTTAGTAGGAACGAAATGGTGGCGCCCCTGCCACTTGTGCTGTAGTTTTGTGTGAGCGAAACTTTTTTGGAGGCGTCCCCGCTTATCTAATTCATGAAAAATTTCGGCCAATCACCGTGGGGCAGTACCCTCCGTACCCTTCTGGCCAGTGCATGTTAGGGCCCACAGGAGATTTTGTGTGTAGCACCGGCCACGGAAGAAAAATGGTCCGGCTCCATCTTTCTGCTCGCACGAAGAAAATTGGCCAGCAGAGTCGGGGGACCCACTGCGAGGAGTGCGAAAAAAACGGAAAAGTTACAGGCGCAGCGAAACCATCTCGAAATTTGCTGCTTTCTCAACCATCTCCAACCCAACGACAATCTTCACGCCGACCTCTCTCAACACCACACAAGGTAGGTCGACGACTGTCACGATCGATGTTCCGTCTCTCTGGACTGGGCCCGGCGCGCGAAAAGAAAAGAAATACAGAAAAGATGGAACCGGCCATGGGAACTTGACGTGCATCTCGACGCTGCGAGACGGCATGAAGCAATTCGGGTCGTTTCGCGGCGGACAGACGCGCGATTGGCAACACATCCGAACCGACCGTCGTTTCGGCGGTCGCAGGAGGCTGGGGACAGCAATCATGGGGGCATATGGAAACATAGGCGCCGGTGATACGCTGCTCTCCTTCAGCACTGAGCGGGCAGAACCTTTCTTCGAAGAATTCTCTTTTCTTTCGCGTCGAAGGGCACTCTCCACGCTCCAGAGCCTCAATGACTAACTTTATTTTTTGCGTAAAAGAGAACCTCTCACAACCGCCAAGATGGTCCGCACCTCCGTCCTCCACGATGCTCTGAAGAGCATCAACAACGCCGAGAAGGCCGGCAAGCGCCAGGTGCTCATCCGCCCTAGCTCCAAGGTCATTGTCAAGTTCTTGACTGTCATGCAGAAGCACGGTACGTTTTTGTCTCGGGACTCCATGTACTGTTTCGCCATGTGTGGTTGCCTCCTCCGCCCCTCGGCATGATAACTGGACGACCGTCTCAAACATCCTACGACACGAGTCTTTTAAGTTGCCGATAGAACAAACCACCATATGCGGAGATCTTACACGTTTCTCGGAGTCTTCACTGGCAATCACACATGACGTTTATACGTTTAATCTTCCGCAACAGTCAACTAATTCTGGTTTCTTGTTTTCAGGCTACATTGGCGAGTTCGAGGAGGTCGATGACCACCGCTCGGGCAAGATTGTCGTCCAGTTGAACGGCCGGTACGTACCAACCGCTGCACCATTACGCACCATCTTGCATGTGCAATGAGAACCCGCCACTAACTCCTCCCAGCCTGAACAAGACCGCCGTCATCTCCCCCCGCTACAACGTCCGCCTGGCCGACCTGGAGAAGTGGGTTGTCAAGCTGCTGCCCGCCCGTCAGTTTGGTTACATCATCCTGACCACCTCGGCCGGTATCATGGACCACGAGGAGGCGAGACGCAAGCACGTCTCCGGCAAGATCATTGGCTTCTTCTACTAGATCAGTAGGCGAGGCTGGTGGTGTGCTGGTGCGATGGCGATGTAGGACAGGCGCAGTCACGACTGGTGGACCGCGTGCGTGCTTCGATTTTGTGTGGCATATTTGGCGTTTGGGACTGGAAAAGGATGCCAGAGTCTTACGAGACCTATTTGAATCTATCACGAAACGAATTATCTTTCTACAAAAGCAAAACAGCTCGCCACTGCCCGACAATCAATGCTAGTGCCTATCCTCTTCTTCCGTGCTCTGACCTTGATGGCGTAAGTGACCATATTCGCATGTACGGCAATACAGAGTAATTTGCTCTGTCTGGGATGTAAGATCTCAGAGACAAGCACGCGACGGAAGTCCATTCCAGTGAAAGGCGCAAATTGCGAGCTGAACTAGCTCTGTGTCTGCTTCCTGTCGTCTGTAATGAGTAATTAATTGTTTCCGATCCCCCTAAAACCGGCAGGGCTTACGTCGCTGTCGAGGTGGTGTGGGCCTAGAATGGGCTATTACTCCCTCCCAGACTTGAGGTAGGAACGAACACAGGGGGTGTCGTTACAGAATACAAGACCTCCCGTCCCATGTAAGATATCATTGATTGCACGCCACTGGGAGTCGATTGGCGCCTTCCGTGCGCCGTTCTTGCTTGGAAACACTTGCGAAGCTTGTGACAGTGGTCGTTCCTTCCGCCAAGTGGAACAATTGCAGCGCACTAACACTGCACGCGGCAGGAGCAATCGGTCGCTATTGCTTGTATTTCCCCATGACTACAGGGGTGTCTAACGACGCCTGAAATTGCGAAATCCTGATTTTTTCCCACTCCTTTTGCCTGCAACGACGACACGCATCGACCATTGTGGAATTGCTCGACCAAGAGTGTCGTCACATTGCTCGCGTCACGGAATCGACACTCCTCTGCCCATTGCGGCCCCAGTGGTGAATAGCAAGGCCTCTCTTGCTCCCGGCCACACGCGTCTGGCGTTCGCCCTCCTCGAAAGATCTGCCCAGGGATAGCTCTCTCCCGTTTTGCTATCGTCGTGTTGGGCAGCTTCATCTCTGTCTGCTTCTCTCGCCCGTTTTGCCAATTTCGCACACGGGCCCATTTCGACGGTGCGCCAAGCAGCTCCGTTGCGTGGTGTCTCGTCGTCCTCACGGCATCCTCGTTTCTTTGCCAATTTATTATCGACACGGCTCATACAGTACCATACCCCTCGTTTCGCATCATGCGGTCACGACAGTTTACTATCCTTGGCGTCTTTGCCATTCTCATCATCTGCTTCTACTCCTTCTCTCACATCGAGCAGGCACCATATCTCGGCCCACATGCAAATGGACATCCCGCCACAGACCCAGCCGCAACGGCGGCCCCCAACACGCCCGGCAACACACCCTCGACGCCGGAGAAGAGTCTGCCGCACCCGCCCGAAGTCGAATCCGGTCACCAGGTGCCCGCCTCCGTGCCCGACGTCCAGCCTCCGGCGTCCAAGCCAAAGAAGGCATCAAGCACCTCCCACCCCATGTGGTCACTGATCAGCGGAGCCGAGCGCGACCTGGAGAAGATGAAAGCACGGCAGTCCAAGACGCTCCAGGAGGCTGTGGCGGAGTACCGCAAGCGCTACGGCATTGCACCACCACCACACTTTGACAAGTGGTTTGCGTTTGCCAAGGACAACAACGTGCAGCTGGTCGACGAGTTCGACACGATCAACGAGCTGCTGACGCCCTTTTGGGGCCTCAAGCCTGCGACGATCCGCGCGCGGGCCAAGGAGGCCCTTGGGTTTGGCAACGGCCTGCTGGGCCTAGCCATTCGCGACGGCAACATCTCGCACATTGAGGGCGGCGGCGAATGGCAGCGCGATGCCACCAAGGGCATGCTGCGGCAGTTTATCCAGTATCTGCCCAACATGGACCTGTGCTTCAACGTGCACGACGAGCCGCGTGTCGTGGTGCCGCACGAGGACATGGCGCGGCTGGTGGCGACGGCCAAGGGCAAGACCATGGCCAGGGCGCGCGCCAACGCCGACAGCCCGGGCACGCTGCGCAACCAGTTCACGGCCAAGGTCAAGGGCCTCGGCAGCGGCAACCGCTTCGAGGAAGCGGCGCTGACACGCTTCAACGTGTTTGCGCACCAGCCGACATGGACGCACTCGCGCATGTCGTGCCCGCCCGACAGCCCCGCGCGGGCGCTGGAGGAGGGCGAGCAGCGCGACGACGTGGCGCAGTACAGCTTGAGCGAGCTGGGCTTTGTGTACAACATGACGGCGCTGTCGGACATTTGCTACACGCCGTCGCTGCGCGAGACGTTTGGTTTTTTTGATAGGCCCAATGCCTACAACATCGTGCACGACCTGTTCCCCATCTTCTCGCAGTCCAAGGTCTCCTCGTATGCCGACATCCTGTACCCGTCGCCGTGGTACTGGTACGGGAAGGTGACCTACGACGAGGCGCGCGACCGGCCGTGGGCCGACAAGATCGACCAGCTGTACTGGCGGGGCTCCACGACCGGGGGGTTCAGCCGTGACGGCGGCTGGCGCCGGCAGCACCGCCAGCGCTTCGTGCAGAAGATCAACGCCGTCGACCAGGCCATGATCCTCAAGAATGCAGCGGCCGACCGCGATGGCGGCGAGCAGGACTGGCAGGTCAAGGAGGTGGCGCGCGCCGACTTCAAGGACCTCTTCAATGTGTACTTCTCGCACATTGGCCAGTGCGACGAGGGCGACTGCGAGGCGCAAAAGCAGTTTTTCAAGATCCAGGACCGTGCCGACCAGCAGGACGCCTGGCAGTACAAGTACCTGGTGGACCTGGACGGCAACGCCTTCTCGGGCCGTTTCTACGCGTTCCTGCAGAGCAAGAGCCTTGTGTACAAGCAGGCTATTTTCCGCGAGTGGCACTACGAGTGGCTCAAGCCGTGGGCGCACTACATCCCGCTGAGCCTGCGCGGCGACGACTGGCTGGAGACGGTGCGGTTCTTTGGCGACGGCGCGCTGGGCAAGAAGGAAGCGGAGCGGCTCGCGTTGCAGAGCCGCGACTGGGCCAACAATGTCGTGCGCAACGTCGACCTGGAGGCGTGGTTCTTCCGGTTGCTGTTAGAGTGAGTCCCGTCCCCTCTTTCTGTTTTCATGCTTGATCTCTCTGCTAATCTTGTAGATATGGCCGTGTTATCGATGATGACCGCGAGTCCATCGGCTTCGCTCCCTAAGTGATTTTTTGCCTTGTTCCATTTTGATTTATGTCCCTGGTTTTTGTTCCCTCCCCCCCGGGTCTTTTTCTGGAGTTTATTGCAACAATGCGGCCCTTTTAGTCATTGCAAGCGGTAGATGTCTTCACGCGTGTGCGAGTCAAACGAAAGGGTTGTCGGTAGGCAACGGCGCTTGTTCGTCATTTTGTCCGTTCTTGGTGGGTTTGACTCGCGTCTCTGCGTTTTTTTATGCTCTTGTTTGTTATAGAAGCGCTGTTTTTGCAGGGGGCCCTCGGATACTGGCGTTGTGTTTTCTGTGCTGTTTACTTTGTGTTGAGAGGCCTCTCAAGTCCTTGCGTCCTTGCGTCCTTGCCTGTATATTAGCTCCTCATTAGAACGGCCAGGATACTTTTAATAGACAGGTTTACGCCTTTTGCTTTCATTCGCTGCTGCACGGGCGCTGCATTCACTCATCAGACCGTTTAATGTTTGCAATTGTTTGCAGTATATATTTCGATGTAGGCCGATCTCCCTCCCAAATACTCCGTTTACAGACTTTTTGATACCTGGTTCGATGGAAGTATATGAAAATAAGCACTTTGCAACCATTCTTTCCCAGGTTGATGGAACGAAAAAAACATAATATGAACAGACACTTAAACCCGCTAACGACTAGAAAACAGCACAGAAGATGACGATAATGGAGACAACGCAAAATGACAAGCCATGAGGAAAACATTCGAAGCCGAAATCGTCGCTGTCTGGGTCGGCTACTCGTCCTCGTCGGCCAGGGCGTCGTCCTCGTCCTCGTCCTCACCGTCTGAGCGGTGGCGGCCGTTGCTGTTGCCCCGTCCCGGGTTGGGACTGCTGCTGCCACGACGGCCATTGCGCTCGTCGTCCTCGTCGTCGTCGTTCTCATCCTCCAAGCCGTCACGGTGCTGGCCATTGCTCTTCCTCGCCGGTGCGGGCACGTCCTCGTCCGCGTCGCCCTCGGCGTCCATCTGGGCTTCCTCAAAGTGCAGCGGGTCGGCACGGATGAGCGCAATGTGCTCCTTGATTTCGTCCGGTGCGTCCTGCAC